GATTGCGCGAATCATGGCCATCCATTTTCACGCTCGCGTGAGGGAATCGACGACCGACAAATTTTCTCGGTTACTTGCCCTGCGGCTGCATGCCGTCGCCGATCATTGTGGAGGTGATCAGCTTTGTGATGTTGCCTTGCACAGGCTTTGGAATGGAGGCTACTGCTTCCTTGGGTCACTGTCGCTTGATCATTAGGGGCCCATGCGTGCTAGCTAGCTCCAGTTCCAAAGATTCTGTACTTAGTTGTACCCTCGTTTGTTTTACGAGACAGTGCCGAGTCGTGCCGGTGCCATGCTTGTTTTGGAACGCCCTGCCGTTGTGGCCGCCCAGACACGGCCCGGCCCATTAGCCAGCCTGCTACAGCCGTGCCTGGGCCGGCAACGATTTGGCCTGCCTTATTTGGACAGCAGTACAGCACTATGGCCAACTGGGGATATCCAGAAACCAGAGGCCCATATGAGTTGTACAACTAAAAACATGCTATCATAGATCAACCAAAAGAGAGCATGTTTATACACACTGCAACCGTTTACAACTATTGATCAAATTCAGTTGTACGTGGGTTAGACAATTGGGTCATATGCATTGCAATTTCCGTCCCAGATAGAGGAAGAGGAAGAGAGATCTAGGCGCAAACCGATAACTAACTCAAATGCACTTGCAAACAATAGAGAAAATATCACTTATTGTATCGCACTAACCAGAACTCAAAATCACCCGATCGGTCACAATTTGCAGTTATTGTACAATGTAAGCCTCCACTGCAGCACGCAAAATTGCCAAAGGGGGCAAAAACAAAGCTGCTACCTGATGTTTAACATGAAGTGTACAAGGAACAAATATGATTGGGAAGGGCGGTACTGTTCGTGAGTTGGTACCAACAAGACCTTGCCACTGCATCATTTGCAAAAAGCGTGCAGTCTAACACCCAACGTGAGGAGTTCGACAAGGACCGATTTAGCCCACAGCACCCAGAAAATTTAGTAGGTTTGTTTCGTATCATGCAGCTTGCGTGCGAATGTTGCAGCCACGAGTAACGGGAAAGCGATCGTAGCATCACAGTGCACCTGCATTTCCAAGAGCCGCGGTATTAAGATACGGCTTTACAGTAATAACCAGTCGTAGTGTATTGAATTAAATAAAAGTGCATTCATATGATCTTTTCGTGTCACAATTTCTTACATAGATCATGCCGTGTCATAATTTCTTACATATATCTTCTATAGCAGGCAAAACAAAATCATGTCAACCATGATCGCATAAATCATTAAACAAAAGTAAATGGCTGCATGCTTCAAGGCTTTAATGCATCACATGTGGTATTACACAGAGCAAAAGCTATACACATAAATAAAGGTAAGTTATGATGGTTAGGATTAGAATCTAGTCCAAGATCATTGACATACTTCATCTCAGGTGAAATCAACAAAGGCATTTTTACGTGCAGCATGATCTTTGATAGACACTTTTGACTGCCTAGATGTATGTAAAACATTAAAAAGATCATGTGAAAATTGTTCAAGTTACAGAAACATACCTTGACAGGTTTGGCTGAACCCTTTATCTTTCCCCATGAAACTGCTTCATCAGGCTGTGCTCCAGAATCACTGCCATCAAATTCTTGAGCTGTGTTGATATAGACTGCAAAATCTGCACCATTGCGAAACATATTGGCGTTGCATATATGATGCTTCGGTAGACCTCCACCAAGAACTATAATCCCGGTCTTCCTTGGGGTTGCATGAATGGCTTCCCCATTCATCAATCTTATATCTGCCAAGTTTTTCAAGCATAATATGAGAAAAACAAAAGTGATAGCAAAAGCAAGAAAACCAAGCACACAACTTGCCTTGTACAATGTCAATAATTAGGCCAGGATTGCGAACTGCATGACAGAATAGCATGTCTCCAAGTGATCCATCAGTCAATGCTGGGCAGTATACAGGAATATTGTTCTGATCAAGATTTGGAGAGTCAGTACTGTCTCGTTTTCAGTCTTTGAGTTACAGATCATAACATTGCACTTGGCCATATGAATTTTAAACCAAGGAACATGAAAATACCATGCTATTGTAACATCAAGAGGAAAAGAACAAGTATCTTGATCAAATCCACTCAACTATAACTCTAAAAGTCAAAATAAAGCTTCAAATATGGACACCAAGTACATTAGATTAACATCAGTAAGCACAACTTTAAGGATGGTGGCACACTAGTTCCTAGGGGAAAAGATGTACATATGGCACTATTATGAGGAGTTTCCACATTTAGAAAACATTAATACATACAAAAATAACTCAAATAATAATATAGTTTATTTGTTTGTTTTTAAGGGAACTCTGAAAAAAAATTCAACAAGACTACCTAGTATATCATTGTGTAGTGTACTCAAGATAAAGATGCAGGGGCTTTATGAACAGGATTGATGGTTTGTTCTCCCACTTGCACTTTGCAAGGATATGCAGGTGAGTTAATAAATATGTTACCTTATATGCCCAATAAAGGTAGGAACTTTCATCGTTTATTTCTTTGCCAAGACGGCCAATGACCTTCGATGGTGTCCAAACATTCTGCAGGTAAGTAAAACTGATTGCGCTTCATGAACAGAAGAGAGAGAAGCACAAAAGTAGTTGGAAGAGTTGCTTCTGAAAGAAAGACGCATATCTGATAATTGAATAGTTGGACATCAAGGGCATAGCAGTAAAGCTTACAAAACATATCTACCAGTGTGGAACCTTTTCCTTATTGATTCTTGGCAAGTGACCAGTTGTACAGAAACTATACCTGGTAACCTCATATTTCAGTGCTATTTGGATTATGGATTTATTCATGTACCATTACTACGTAAATTCACAGAGGCCAACTTGAAACGGAGCTAATGAAGACTGGTTCAAATAATGACAACCTTTCTGTACCATTACATTAGTGGATTTCTAAGCACTATAAGTTAGGCCTTTTCATATTACTGCCCCCTACATGATGCCTCCACTTTATAGCTAATGAGCCATAAGCACATGTGCGTCATATAGAATCAAACACCTTGTTGCAAGCTACTGGGCTTCAGCCAGAAGAAAAATGTTATAGTACCTCCCTGGATTGCTCTTGTAACATCTGGTAAAAAAATTGGCATGATCCAGTTCTCAAACTTGCAGTAGTTATCATTAGGAACCAATAGATTTCCAATCCGATTCAATCCCTTTGACCGCAGCAGCGTTCCAGGTAAAGAAAAATCCCCTCTGTAAGTAGGAGCAAGACATTTGATGAGATCCTCCTCTATACCACCAGCAGTCGTAACAATAACATCAACCTAAATAACACATTTTTTTTTCCATAGGGAATTAGCTACATCATAGGGATGAGATCTCAATCCTTTTAATAATGCTAGTATGTTACCAAAAGCATGCCAAAACGTGTCTAACAAACCAGTTAATAAAAGGAAATTAAAAAAGTGGAGTATTCACCATGTGATGCTGAACTAGAAAACGGACAACATCCCGAATGCCAGAAGAGACAAGGTTTGAGGTGAATCCCAGGAATATTTTGCACTTCACAGATTCTCTATATGTAGGGTCAAGCTCAGGTTCATCACAGTCCTCACGTGGCTTCTCATGGGACAGCCTCCATTCTAACTTCAATGTATTGAAGTACAGAAAAGAAAGGGTTAGGAAATATAGGAATTAGTAACCTCTTAGGCATGTAGAAAAATCAGTACAAGCATGAAGATGGGGAAAAAAATTAAGGAACACACATGTAAGATTATAACAGAGATATTTTTTTTTCATCTGGATTACCTCCAGGTTATACAAGAGAAAACTCAAATATATACAGTTTGAATTTGTCCAATAAATTCACGATGTAAATAAAAAAAGTGTGTAGCATTTTTTTTTATACATCTACTCCATTCCAATCTACTAATAACGGTTTCGTCTCACAGGAATTATCGAGAAAACCAACAGTAGAGTGTTAGCTTTAGGATGAACAATAGCTGCAAGGTTCCCATTTTATTTTACAGCAGGCATAGCTATGGCTTCACCTCCTACTCTCCGAGTACACCAACAACACAGCAATACGCCCTATCTAGTCCAAAATGCACTTCATCAGAAGCTCCACAGATCCAGAACCACAACAATTTCAAGCTACAGTATCCCCCAATCTGCCTCATCTCTATCATGAATTGTACTAAAAAAGGCAGCAAGGGAGTAGTAACGTTACCATCTGGTTGACGACGTCAACGGCGTCGCCGAGGTTAGAGGCCTGGAATCCAGTGGTGGCGAGCGACGCGAGCATCCCGGAGAGCCCGAGTCCGGCGTCGTTGAAGTCGGCGCCGGCGATCCTCGTGAACCGCCCCTCGTCGAGGGACTCCGAGGGCTTCAGCACGATAGAGCGCACGCCCTGCAGCGCGTCCATGTCGCGCGCTCCTCCTCCTCCCGAGCCGCCGCTGCCTCCTTCCCAGGCCATCGCCCGCGAAGCCGCCGCCGCCGCCGCCGCGAGCTATCAGCTTCGAATTACTTTTTCCCGAGAAAAAAAAAATGTGCAAAAGAAGAATCAGAGGTTCAGCGTCAATCTACTTCGAACTCAGCCCTGCGCTGCGACTCCTCCCGCCGCCTAGGCTGAAAATCTAGTGTCAATTCGGCCCAACATGGCCAATGTCCCCTCAGGGGAGGCCCAACGTCCGAGCACAAAAGCCACGGCCCGTCCCGATTGCACCGGCGTCGGCAGGCCGTGTGTTTCTGGGCCATCGCTTGGCGTCGTCACTAGATGTTCCGATCCGATGAGCTTCTCTTCTCACGTGATTTTCATTGGTGTCGCGTCATCTCCGGCACCGGCTGCACGCCTGCACCCGCGAGAGCGACGAGACCACGTTTCAGATGGAGACGGCGAGCGGCACAAGCAGCTTACACTGCTCTGCATCACCGGCATCATGCGCAATCAATCATGCGTCCACACTTCACCACTATACTCGTAAGTACTGTAGTAGGTATATACTTGCTACAGACCAGAACCAAACGAAAAACCAGTATCTATATGTCACAATATGAATAACTCACCCTATATCACAGACTCGCAGTGCGAGAAAGGCTGTTAAAAGTTCTAGACGGTCCACTGCTTTATAATTTGAGTCAGGTGCATTAGGAAGTAATGATCTACAGGGAATTGTAGCACTATACACCTACCTGAAACAAATACACTAGCAGTATACAAAAGTTGTATGAAGTGGCATTGAGGCAATACCAATTGTTTGTCATATGGTTAGTACTACCACGAGTTTCTCCACACAAGAATTACTCAGCAGAAAGATTTCAGGGTCAAGATGCTTTAACTTGTGATTCTTTAAGCTGTTCTTTCAACCTCAGAACCTCACGACAGTAGAAAGAAAGGTCCTTCTTCAGCTTGGTGGATGCTTCCAGATACTTTGTGTCCATCAGCTTCATCTCATTTATTGCTTCTTTAAGCCTTCCACGGTGTGCATCAAGTTCTGGTTGCATCCACCGAATCTGCATCCTAAGCTTTGTGTTCTCTTTGTTATAAGCCGAAGCATCCTGCAAAAGAAAGCATGTTACGGAATTACTGGATACAGAAAAGTGCAAGTTGTCAGTGAGTAATTAGTAAGGTGGCTTGTTCTCTAAAGAGGAACAACTAGGGCCATCGTTGAATTGCTTTTCAAAATTAAATGACATGGAAAACTGAAATAAGATACATTCAAATTGGAAAATGATTTTCCTCTATGCAAAGCTATCACTTGGATAATTAACAAAGCAGGAATGATAGAGTCACTGCTCAACAGTAGTTATTTCTTCAGGAAATGCAGTGCCTTTTAAGTGCCTAACATTTTCTCTTAATATAGAAATTATGGCTATCCAGGTTCTTGAGGATGCCTTGGCCCTTGGGATTTATAGTTTGCAGTACACTGATTGAGTTATACTGTATGTATCTGTGCTTATCTACTACATGCCTGATGCATCCACAAGCTTTGCTGGCAGACCACCCTTATCCCAGGCTTCCCAACAATAAACTAGATCCCATCGGTTCATTGAATCTGGTGTTTTCCAGTTATTTGGCAAACTTTTATTGTATTATGTCAAGCTTCCATGTTTTCAAAATGCAGGACGAACATAAATTACAATAGTCCGTCAAAATAGCAACAGAACATATGCAGTCAATTTTGCAAATGTTTAGGTCAAGGCTTAGAACCAGCAGCCTAAAAGGGGCACAGCAAGTTTCAACTGGGGTTTGCAATTCCAAGCAACCATAGAAAGGAAAGTTAAATTAGATTACTAGACAAGTAGTTCCATGCTGAAGCTCGGAAACAGACTTTGGTTATAGACGTTCATAATACACAGAGGCGGAGATGGTTTGGCGAAAGGCAGCAAGGACCAGTTCCAGTTCTCCCCTTCTCCCTCTCACGCTGTGACAGAAAGATTATGTTCTCGTTGAAGATTGAAGCTGTCTTCTAGTAGCTTTTCTTTTTTTGTGTCTTTTGTGTTTTCCCTTGTGCGAGGTTTAGAGTTTAAGAACTCGTGTATGTTTTGGCTGTGTATATCCTTCATGAATACAGAGGCCGGATTAATGAAAATCCATTATCTAAAAAAATTGTAGTTCCTGTGGTGGTCCATTGGTAATTTGAAAAAAAATACTTCGACTGTGCAACAGAAGCAATTTTGGCATCTGTTCTGGAGTTCAATTGAAACTCCTGGACTTTTTATTTTATACAGTTTTGGTTTTGAAGTCGTACTCCCCCATGTTATGGAAAACTTTGTGACATTCCTTGTCTAAAAAAATGAATGAAATCAGGTAGAAATATTTGTTGATAACAAATGCACATGCTCTTATGAGAGGCTGCACATGGAACCCTACTCACAAAACATTCATCTATTCCTAAGTTTGATAATGGTAACCAGTAACTCTGCATTCGAAGATGAAATATTTTAAACAGCAGCTACAGTAATAATATACTTCCATTAACAGTAAATGACAAGTACATTAATGCTTACATTTTTCATTTTGGCTTCCACGATAGATATCCTAGAACTCAACTCATCTATAGTAGCTTTGGCCTGTATTAACTGCACAAATAATCAAAAAGCACATGAGAAAACCACTCACTCACAGAGATTAAGTGCAGCAGGTCAACAATAAACCTAACATGCCTTTTTACTATGATTCTCTTTTAAAACCTCTGATTCATTGATGACTGAATTCATATATTTAATCTCAGAAAGTAACTTGTCACGTTCTTCTGTAATCGACAATAGTTGTTGGTGAAGTTCCTGCTCAAAACAAAATGAGAGAAAAACTGCAAGATAAGTTACTGCTCAATTGTTTTTTCACTAGGAAAACAAAGAATGTCCAACATCGAAAGTTCGAAACATTGTAGCTTCCCACGTGATGGTTTCTCACGCATGTATAGTAATTGGTCATGACTTGTGACTATATGATTTAGGGTGAAAATTCTTCCATTTGATTTACTCATGTTATAAGAAGACTTTTCACAATGGAGGGCAAAAGGAATAGACTGAAGACTTACATTTTCATTCACACCGGTGTCAATGTTTCTTTCTTTCTTCAGAAGTCGTTCTGATTCTTCAAAAGTCTCCCTGCTGCACAAACTTTCTAGTGTCAGTAGTAAATCAGCTAGCCGAACATTTGAGCCTACGGCATATTAAACAACAGATGGCGATGTATTTGTTTTCTTTTTTCGAGGTAACGGAAGGGAGCTCCTACATTACACTATAGAAGAAGAGAGTTGATCCAGTTTATAAGGAAAACCGGACCCTAAAACCTTACAACGGCACGGTTAATTTATGGAAAACCAGCGAAAACCCCGGCATTGACATACTGAACCCAAGAACCTAATAACAGCAGTCCAACAAGGGAAAAACTCATAAAACGAAGCCTTCAAGAAGAAAACACCGACAGAACGGCGATATCGCCTGATCCTAACGAATCTAAGGTTTTAACCGGAGAAATCCCTTGATGTGGAGTTGAACGAGGGCTCCAATAGCAACGCCTTCAACAAGGTGAACGATGCCCGATGGCGTCGCCGTTGCTAGCATCGGCAAGCCGAGCAAGGCTTTCACCTCGGAGTCCCATCCAAACATAGTGTCCGCAACGGAAGCCACCAAATGCCACCAAATGCCACCTGCACACCGCAACACCTGCACAACAACCGGACAAGCGCTGTTGACAACCTGCTCTGCCACCTCACCCGGACCGGCGGAGCTCCACTGAGCTGCGGAGCTCATCGGCGCCACACAGGCCACCCACCCGTCGACGCCGCCGCCACGAGGGGTCCGGCCTCGCCCAACCCCGACTAGGACACACCCAAATCTGGACCTGGAGGGGCCAGATCCAACCGTCCCCCTTGCTGCCTTCACCACCGCCGTCGGCCGCCGCCGCAACTCCAGCCTCTCGTGCCAGGGAGACGCGCGGAACCCGCCAGAGATGCGCTGGATCTGGACCTAGCATGGCCAGATCATGCCGTGCCCCGTGCAGCCTTCACCGCCACCGCGGTCCGGGATGGGAGGCCACCGGTGCCGGACGTGGGGAGGGCCAAGCTCAGGAACGACGTCCCCCGGGTCACCTCAGATCTAGAGAAAAGGAGGAAGGGAAAAAGAGAGAGGAAGAAGGAGAAAGGAAAGAGGAAGGAAATGGGAGGAAGGAGGGAGGCGCTGCCGCCGCCGACCATCACTGCAGGTGGCGGCAAGGCCGGCAAGGCATGCTGGGGAGACGAGCTTCGCTTCCCGGGTCGCCAAGAGAGGCCGTGATGTATTTATTTCCTACTAGGACAATTTCACCTATCTGTTCCTATTGCTCACAAACAGCTATTGGTTCACCCCGTCAAACATTTTTATGTTTATTATAACTGTCCTTTTAGCACATCGAAGATATGTGCTTGTTAGATAAGGCACAACCACTCCAGTTTGTTCATTTTGTATATTTTCAGAGTAACTCCTTTAAAAGAATATTTTAAACTTCAGGCTCAGGACTAGAAAGTATTGCAAAAGAAATATTAAAAGTAGCTTAAGGCATGCTCCTACATGGTTGTTGTATTACTTGTTGTCCCGATCATACAACACTGAAGCACAATATGTCAGATTGATGGAATTACTACAAGACTAACCAGTATTTCTCCTCATTTGTGTCATTCTTGGAGAAAATCATTTTAGCCTCAAGAATACTGTACTGTTCTCTGCAACACGCCAATTCTTGTCTCACCTAGCAGTATATTGCAATATCAGTAACAGAGATACCAAAGTTCTTCAAAATATTGGTGAAAAAACATTGAATGTGGAGGTTGCTTGACTATTACTTTGAACAAAAAAAGAAAAACATTAGGAAAATGAAACTAGTCGTCTAGGGCAAGACAACATTAGAAGAACTACATTATGTAAATCAACTCAATACAAGGCAACTAGGGCATGTCTAGTTCTTTAACAAGACGCAACTAACCTTTCTAAGTTGCTGGTAGGAAAGCAAATTCATGCTAAAGAGGCGAGCTAAATTTTGTCTCCCTTAAAAGAAGGAAACCCTTGTCCAGAAAAGAACCAAACAAGGAAACCAAACATGCTTTCTTCCCCACTAATGTTGCTAGGCAAGAAAAGAAATGTGCAATAAATATTTAAATAAAAAATATCATAGCAAACAACCACAACAGGTAAGTGCAGCAGTACATATGACACATTGATATTCATAGCATGATCCAAATCTAAACAGTATTGACACAAATTGATATAGCATGATCCAGAACTAAACAATATTGAGTTGTTGATAAAACCACATAGCATGACTAGTGACTGCATACATAAAATGGACTGGGCACACGGGAGATGTGCAATGATCAATGGGAACTCTATTGTTGTTACCTTAATCAAATCTTCTGATAATTTGCAATTGTTCTTATTGCAGATATTCAGTTTTTGTTTGGCTTCAAGATAAGCTTTCTCCTTGGCAGTCCACGTTGATCTTTCAGACTCCATTTCCAGAAGAACATCAGTAAGTTCCTGTATTTTACAGCAGACAGAAGTGCAATAAGTTTCAACTTTCAGCTAACATCAATCAATTTGACATAAGCACAGAGCTATACAATTCCCATGTCTTCTTTTTCCCTTGATAAAGAACTAATAGAAGCCTCAAGTTTTTTAGAGATAGATTCAGATGCATCTAACTTCCTAGTCTGCATCAAAGAGAAACACAACAAAATTTCATGGTGTCAAAACATTTAGGATTAGACAAATAGATGGGAAACAAATCTTCCAAAATATGCATAAGACAAATCAAGTATACCAAGACAGCAGTCTCCTCAAGCAAGGAACTAGTCTCTGATTCTGCTGAATTCAACCTACTTTCAAGATCTTCCACTGCTGATGTGAGAAGCTCCACTCTAGATAATGCTTCTTCCTTTTCTGCAATGGTAGTAACTAAAGCTTCTTGTAACGAAGCAATTTCAGCCTCCATATCAAAAGCATGCATCTCAAGCTTTCCGTAGTCCTCCTGAAAAGGATAAAAGAGCCATCACTACATGCATAGCATAGCTAGTTAGGTCATCCTACAGATGTAAAACTCTCTAGTGTTATGCTGGGATGATATGTGAATAGACAGTATGACTGAAATTTCTTCTTCCTCACTCAACATGGCATCTTTGTCACTGTTCCCTAACTGATATCAGGAAATGACCTTCTGTTTCAAATTTACTATATGTAATACTGAAATAGACAAAAAAAATGGATGCTCTTGAGTGTTTGTACTTTGTTGACTATAAGTCCACATCAATACTGAAATGGTGAACATTCTGGATGTCAACAAAAGAGATTTGGGTTATAAAACATGCAATAAAAGCTATGCGGAACAATAAATAGATTTTTTTCCATGATTGCAGGTTGCCAAGTTGTGAGACCAACGAAGTGATAAACCATCATAAACCAGAAACCAGAGAGATGGCATATTTTATGAACCACTAGCCCTGTACTAGAAATATTGAATCCACATTAGCACTTGGTAGCTTCAAACCACCACAGTCTAAAACACATATTCTGGAACAGTGGAATCGCATAATGGTATGGTCTGTGATTGGGAGCATATTGGCCAATATTATTGTCGAGTGACTGTTGTGATTTATTAGAGTTATTATTGCAAGTTGTAACAATATTATGCCAGTACCCTGAATTAGTCAATTAGATCAGTTTCCTACACAACAAATTGACTGAAAAGTAATACAAGGGATGATTGTAACCTGAATCTGGACAGCTTGATCATAGATACCGGCAAGCTCCTTCGACTTCACACTCTGTTCATGTCTTTTGTCAACAGTAAACGAATCACGTTTCCGTAAATCACGTTCAAGAAGAGTCCTTTGGCTCTGTAGCTTCTTTATTTCTCTCTGGGCCTCAGCCTTTTCACTCTAGGGGAAATACATATTGATAGTTCATCAGTAAAAAGAACTGGTTATTAGCGAATAATGTAGGGTTTTCTTGTTTACACATATAAAATAATTAACAAACTTGAAGTACCACGCATATTAATAATACTAATTTCAACAAACAAACCTCAAGTTTTATCTTCTCTTGAATGGAATTTTTAAGTTTGTTCTCGGTCTCTTTTAACTTTGTTTTTGTTCTGTCAAGTTCCTTTCGGATAGACTCCTTCTCTTTCATCAAAGAAGATGATGACAAGTATACGACTTCCTTTTGGAGAGTTAGGAGCTCCGATAGAATGCTATCTTTCTCCAGCTCATTTTGAATATTACAATCCTGAGTACAAGCAATGATTTTAGAACATAAACAATACATAAAGAATTTAATCACCAAATAGGGCTTAAGCAGTCACAGACCTCCATAGCTTTCTCACAACTTTCTAAGCTAGATTTCAACCGTTGAAGTTCATCTTTCTGATCTAGGGATTGTTCATCTAATATTTTCTGAAATCAATGGAAGCCAATGAGAGCTGCTTAGAATGAAAATCAAACAATGGGTAAAAAGAACTTAAAATGCATACCTTCTCCATTTCAAGTTTGCTGAGTTTTTCTCGCAAACAGTTTGAAATGTTCTCGTAATCCCTAATGACAGAACTGAACTGTGTAATATCTCCACAAACAAACTGCTTTGCTTCCTACAGAAAGGACCAATGACATAACATTTGAAACATATACGACAGAGCACTGTGTCCAGCCATAAAACTAACTACAGTAGTGAAAACTAACTATAGTACTATTGTAAGACAGCTTAAATAGATTAATATGCAAATGAAAAATGGGCATAACAAAGGGCTCTATACTATATATATTAGATATTTTTGCCAGATCATTTTCATATTAGATTTCAATATAGTACATTTCAACCAGACAATTTGCATATTGGAAGTTTAAAAAATGACATGTTGATAACAATTTATAGCAATGTAGCTGGCTCATTACCCAAAAATGTTGATGGTACTACACACACGAAAATTTCTTTGAGTACTAAATACTTGTCTCTGTTTCAAAATACAAGATATTTTTGTTTTGTCCTAAATCAAACTTAGAACAAAGCCAAAACTTCTTAAGATTTTATCCTGCATTTGATGTCAAAGAGCATTTTCAGGTGGGTTGATAGGTTTTATGGGAATGCAACAGTTTAGGCATAATAAATTAGGAGATTATCTAGTTGGTAAGGAGACAAGATTTATTAGTACATTACAGACAGTAGATTGGTTTCTACAAAATTAGATATTAGTTCCTTATATATCAAGTTAGTCCTCCCTATATATAAAGGTACCCGATGTACTCTATTATCAATCAATCAATGAATCTCTAAAGTTAGTCTAAGCCTCACAACCTCTTTTAGCTTATTAGATATTAGTTCCTTATATATCAAGTTAGTCCTCCCTATATATAAAGGTACCCGATGTACTCTATTATCAATCAATCAATGAAGCTCTAAAGTTAGTCTAAGCCTCACAACCTCTTTTAGCTCAGCAAGGAGAAGCCCTGCTGGTGCAAGGGTGAGTGTCCTATCACCGATCTTCGGACCCTTACCATATCCAGTCCATAGCACTAGGTCAATATATATAATGGAGCAAAATGGTTGGTAATTGTCGATGTTAAACTTTAAATAGACAGCTAATTCAACAAATGGCATGATTATCAAGAAATTGGGAAATAGACTATGGAGATACTGTCATACAGTGAAGTTTTTGGCCATCATGAAGAGATTCTGGAAGAGCTCTTCAATGAAAGAAAGAGCATTGTCAACTGAGCGTGTTGATTGATCCATTTGCACAGCTATGCTTTCAGTCTCCACAAATATACCAGTAAGGAATTCATATGCTGCTTCCTGGGATTCATACAAATGTTTTATCCAAGAATCATTCATGTTAATTAATCGACTATGAAATCAAAATAGAAAACAGATTAAGTGTCCAAAATATGCCATTTGTGAGGAAAGGAGAATTGCTATAACTGGAAGAGAATAAGAAAGTACTTGTTTGGAAAGCTTTTCATTAGCAATTTTAGCTTGTTCTTGTGCAACCAGAGCATTCTGCTGAAGCTGTAAACAAGCAAAGAATATACACAATTTAGGATTTACAAGAATATACACAACACTGGACATGTTTGAACTTTTAACAAACAGGATAAGATTATTCACCTCTTCGTACTTCTCATGGAAAGAAGCTTTCTGCTGAGTTGCTAATTCAAGAACATCATCCAAGTTATTTTGAAAAGAACTCTTCTCTAACTCCAGCAACTTTATCTGCTTTGGATTTTAAGGAAATGTTATGGCAAAGTCATTGCATAATAGCACAATAGTGGGGATGAAAAGTCATTGCATAATAGGGCAATGGTAGGGGGAAAAGTCATTGTGTGATAGGATAATAATAGGGGAATAATTAGGCACCTGATCTTCAAGTTGCTTAATGACAAGAATTGCTTCTGATTCTCGAGCAGATAAACCATTAACACAAGCTTTGATGTTTTCCTGACTTTGTGTGGTGTATTTCCAGTCATTAAGTTCTTGGGGAATAATTCGTTCACTCGCCAACCCCATAAGCTGTTCTTGATCTGATTTTTTCTGGCAAGGCCACGTGTTTCAACAGTCAGTAGAAATGTGACCAATGAAAAATGATAACTATTTTATTAAGAAATATAAAATTCAATAATGATGCGTTGACATTAATAAAATTAAGATAGAGAGTCAGTCACCATCGTATTTGGCTTTCTTCGGCTGGTAACATGTAGCAAAGCATGTGAATCTGGAAGAGAATCATCTTCACAGGATAAACTACCAGATGAGTAAGCATCAGTATAATGTTTAATACTGCTTTCACAGCTTTCTTGTATTAGCTCTTCAAAATGCAGTGGCATCTCCATATTACGTCCATGCCTAACTGTGCTGCTCGGAGGGTCTTCTTGCACAGACTCTAAAACCTGGACATTTGTAGATATGTCATTCTTAACAAGATCTGGCGTTCTATGTAATTTGACAAACTCGTGCAATGGATTAAACATGAAAAGGATTTAATAGCGAGCATTTACAAAAGCATGGCATGCATCAATAGACAGTACCCAAAAGTTGAAATCATGTAATCTACCCCATCACGCAAAAGAGAAATTGTAGTAAAAAAAGGTAAATCATTCACAACAAAGCAATCTAAATGAACATTTTGGGAGGATATCTTAAACAGCAATTTGGAAATAATATGAGCAACAAACCAACAATGCCATGTTTATCCGAAACAAACAATGAGACTTTATATTTTCAGCATGTTGATCAAAGGTGTGAGCAAGCATCACTGATAAATCATACCTGACCATCAAATTGTCTAGAGAGTAGTCCAGGACACCATGTCAACCGTCTTTTGTTCTGTTTGAAGAGCACAAGTACAAAGCCATAAGACTATTATGTTCCCCTGTGTAACTGAGGTATACTTTCATTACTTCTTATGGTTATTTGTCTAAAAATTGTTGCCCTCTTGCTAAAAATGTCTAAAAAATATTCACATTTTTTAGTAGAAAGGAGGGTAGAGCAATAAGCTAAATGGAAATAAAGCACCAATAAGAAAGAAAAAAACATGAGGTTCAAGTGCATTTTATGGCAAGTGCTGGTAAGATAAATAAACTGCATTCCTACCTTACTAGAAACAGTAGTTCTATCATCCCTTTCTGAATTTAATACCAATGAACTAAGGTTTTCAATTTTCTTTGCTTGCTCAATCAACCTCTTATCACGCTGTTCTTTGGCTTTCTTTTCCTCCTCCAGCTCCAAAGAAATTCTCTCCTTTTCCAGTTCACTCTAGACAAAATAGTCAGATTATTTAAGGCGCTACATAGCAAGTAACAGAGACCAGAGATGCTTAAGAAATAAGAAAGGAACCTGCAGTAGCGTGTTTCGCAAATTCAGAATTTCTTCCTCCCAATGTTCACTTTGCGAGTTCTATGATCACACAAAGTATAAGTTTTGCATGATCAAGCTGTACTAACTTAAACAGAGCTTTTTCAATACATACCCTTAGTTTCGCTCGAAGTTCTTCAATTTCTTTCCTTTGGCGTTTTAATAATGCAGCATCTGTTAAAATCTTTACAGAAAGATGCGTTTCAAATTTATATATTTTGCTCTTTGCACAGAAAGAGTAAAATGATTGGCATTAACAGATATTTCAATACCTCGTTAACACATGCACAATTTGTAACACGTAATGCTCTACTGGCAAATTGTAAGCTGCTTTTGGTCTCATCTGCATGGACCTGTAACACAAAATAAAGTAAACAGCGAGGACATATGCTAAAAGGTAAATCAAATAGGAATGTTTGGATTTAAGACTATAATATTCAATGATACCTAAAAAATTACTTCAGTTGTCCAAATTATGCTACTAAATACATTGCTTAAGCATAGTTTACATATTGTACACATTACTTGAGAATATCAATCAAGCAGTAACCTGAATAGATAATACCAAGCACAACAATCTAGCAACATTTTTAAACTAATCCACCAATCTTCTTTCATTATGAGGGAGAGAAAACTAGAAGAATTTATGTCTACTTCCATTGTCCAACAATACAGGAACATGATGGATAGAAGAGAGCTGGTACCTGTGCAAGAGTTATATTACATATAATGGCTGTATTGGCATTTCCACCCAGAGCAGGTTGCAAAATCCTTGTCAACTTACTATCTCGGTAAGGAACATGCCCCCTGATAACAAATTCCATTAGTAATCAGATGAACCACAAACAACCCAAAGCAACTAAAACCACTAGTTAACAAGTTAATAACTTACCCCTGACCTTCTATGCCTTCGCTTAGTTTCTTGATGACTGTACCAAGGGTCATAAGACTTTTGTTAATGTGAGAGCCCTCCTTAAGTCTCACACCTTCAGCACCAGTCTTTGCAGCACGTTCTGAACCAGCTAAATCTACCAGATTCTGAAAAGTTCAAATGAGCATAAATTACAGTGTGCAAAAACTCAAAAGCCTATAGTTAAATAAGTACTACATCTCATACAAGACACGCTGGTTAGTTTTTTGTTTTTTAACATTGGACAGTTATCTACCAGAACAGATACTCGAACAGCATCACACGACTCTCCCGCTTCACTTTCATCAACCTTTTCTCGACTCTCGATTACCTGAGTAATTAGTGATGTGAGAATTCAAGGTATGATGTTGTTTTGTAAGACAACAGATAATACAGTGGAGAGTAAGCATACCATGCGAAATATGGTATGAGAACGACTGCTGTACACATTCATGTTTGTTTCCCCAATATGACGGTGAGCTGCAGTTTTGCTCATAATTATTAAAAATCATAAATCATGAATAGGCAGTGCAAGCAAGCAAATAAAAAAAGCTCACATTCTCCAAATGACATAAACTCCAGTACTTGTTCAGGACAGGTAACAATTTCCTCTCTTAAGCCAGCAACATATATGCCCCTCTTCAGAAGAACAGCATTGCCATGTTATTAAAGAATGGAAAACTTATGAATTTCATTATAATATGTGGATTGTTTACCTCGATGCTTTCATGAATCTGCAATTTCCGATGTTCCGGGACAAGAAGATCATTTATTTCCTCATTATAAATTTCCATATAAGACATGCGGAGAAGAAATTCTCTGTCCAAATGCTAAAAAAAATAGTGAAAAAAGTTTAAGTTAAAAATAAACTCCCAGGTTAAGAGTAGAACATATGAAGGAGATCCCATATCGAAGACATAATGGGATAAGGGTATTTTATAAAGCCTCTGTATATAAACTTAGCAAGTCTTTTTGGTCTTTAGGAAAGGTTACATCAGCATTGTTTTGGTCTTTATGAAAACAACATCAGGATCAGTTTAGAAAGCAACCAAAGTGCTAGAAGATCACAACCAAACACATCAATATATAAATAAATATCTCCTGTTGTTACCATCATGCAAACAAAGGATATGACAGCTACTCCCTCAGTTTCAAATTACATTCCATTCTAGTTTTGTGCTAAACCAAACATTTATATCTTTGAAAATCAATTTCTACAAATTTACATAGTTCAACATCATAACGTATATGTTTATAGATTCACCTTGAAAGATACTTCATGATATATAGTTCGCATGCTGTTAAATTATACGAATTTCTAGAATTTACCTCTTCGATAGTCCTGAATAGATCATGAACTGCAAGAGGTATTATCCCAGGTTCATTACCAGACCCTCTCATTGTATAAGTCTTCCCACTGTTAGTTTGTCCATATGCAAAAACTGTGCCTGTTATGCGTGAAAACATATGGTTAGCTTTTAATGCATGTATAGCTTGGTTGAGAAAAGAAGCCACTGTGCCTATAGTTAGCCAAAAGCCCAAAACAACTAATCTAAAACACACACAAAAAAAAACTCAAATAACTAAAAGGCACGACCTAACTAGCTTCCCCTAGAAAACGCCGCTATCAGCAATAGGATGCAGAGGTACCACAGATTATTACCGTTGAAACCTCTTACTGCGGAGTCGACGATGTGCTTGGTGCGGGCCCCGTAGACGTCGGCGGTGCGGCACTCCTCGCCGAATATCCTATCTGCGAGAAACGAACCCTCAAGCCAAAAGGAATCGAAGCTGGCAGCAGAGCAACGGGGCGGAAGGGTGCGAGTTCCTTACCGAACTCGAAGCGGATGGAGGGCTGGGTGGAGAGCGCGATGGCGTTGCCGGAGACCCGCCACGGGCTGCTTCCAGCGTCCTCCGCCGTGAGCGGCCGCGCCCGCACGGCGACGTGGATCCGCTCCATCGCCGTCCGGTCCGCCTCCGCTGTCCTGGGAGGAGGAGGCGCCGCCGGGAAGCAGCGGCGGCGGCGGGGCTCCCGTCGGAGGCTTCAGCGGCCGGAGCGGAGGGCGAAATGGGGGATTTCGACTTTTCGCGTGGGTGATGCCGATTTTGGGTTTCCCGCTAGAAGAAAGGAGAGAGAAAGATGAAAAATACTAGTAGGAAGGACTGAAACGGGTTCGTGTTGAGGCCCAAAACTTCGAGGAGCCCGGCCCTTGGTGTTCTTATTTAACGGGCTGAAATCCAAACAAGGCCACATTATACGCTCACACTTGCACAGAGTCGGAGTTCAGATTTCGCACGAATATTGCTGGATTTCTCACAAAGATCAGCTAAGGCGAGTTTAGCTCCAAACTTTTTCTTCAAACTTTTAACTTTTTCATCACATCAAAACTTTCCTACACGAATAAACTTCTAAATTTTCCGTCACATCGTTCCAATTTCAACCAAACTTCATTTTGGCGTGAACTAAACACACCCTAAACCTTTGTGAAATTCAGGTTTTGTTTTTTTTCCCATGTCCCAGCTCAATAAGGAGTAAATTGCATCGCCGGTACACGAACTTGTCAAGTGTGTGCAATCTAGTGCACGAACATGTAAAATGGTCATTTCGGTGCATGAACTTGTCTGGTGCGGAGGAAGGCAAAAAGGACACTACATGGCTAATCTTTTTTATTTAGGGGCTGATTAGAATACTACGTAAACATATATCTGAGAAGGTTGCTATTAGACATACACCTCTTCAATAAAAAGTAGAATAAGATATAGTGATAGTAGAAAAAGATTAAAAAAAACTAAGCAAGATACAAAGTTAGAAATATATGAAATTCACCACTTCGATGATGAAGGATAAAGTAGAGACCAAATTTATAAATATTACATGCCTTATATATGTCGCACTATACGTATGCACGTCACATTCTAATCAACATCAGCTTCGTAAAATTAACGTTGTCAAGTTATTTTGGTCCTCGTCTGCACGAACTAGACAAATTTGTATACTGAAACAAACATTTTATAAGTTTGTATATTAAATTGCACCCACCTAATAAGTTTGTGTACCACCACTACAATTTACTCAAAGAAAAACTAGATTATTTTTTGGTGTCACTCAGTGGCTATCACGAGTGACGTATCTTGGATTCACTCAATATAAACTCGGCAACATCCAATCCAACATGTACACTTGTTCGGCTTCGTGAAGAGACGATCGTTGCGTCAAAGTTTTGTACATGCGGCACGGCACGGTAAGCTCAGGGCGTCACGTGGTCAGAATGGCGGGAAGCTTCAACGACCTCCTCCCCTTCACCGGCGCCGTCGTGTCCGGGAAGCACCCGTCGGCCGTCAGGTCGGCCACCTCGCCGAACTCGGACACGGTGATCGGGAACGGCAGCAGGTGCCCCAGCAGGTCCTCCATCGTGTCCCGCGTGTACGCGTCCCACGTCGCCTCCGCCGCTCGCCGCACCGCGCGCACGCACTCCGCGCTCTCCGGCTCCAGGAACACGCCGCCGCCGCCGCCGGCGTGGCCCATGAGGTGCTCGTGCCACAGCGACATCCGGAACGCGTGCACGAGCCCGCGCGCGCGGCCGCTCGGGCCGCCGTTCAGGTGCGCCGGCTGGTAGCTCCCCTGCGCGATCTCGCTGTCCCGGTTGCCGGCCAGCGACCGCTCGTTGAGGTTCGCCGAGCCGACCATGACGTACTCGTCGTCCACTGCGGAGAAGAAGACGGTGGTGAGGCGGCCGCAGAGGTGAGAGCTCCCGTGGCAGAGGTTGAAGAGAGCTTGGCTTACCGATCATGAGCTTGGCGTGCACGTAGATGGGGAACCGGCGGTTCACCTGCGCGCGCCAGTAGTCCGTGTCAACGTCCGGCGTCTCCGGCGGCGAGTACTCGCCGGGGCGCGGCGCCTCCCGGTTCCCGAGGCAGAAGAAGTTGAGGTAGTCGCAGGGGTGCGCCTGGCCGCGCAGCCCGGCGTCGTCGATGGCCTTCGTGACGATGCCGTACATCATCTCCACGGTGAGCCGGTTCCACCGGAGGATGGCCTGGACGGAGTCGCCGGCCGGCTCGCCCTCCGGCCACATCGGCGTCACGACGTACGCCGCGAACCGCTCGCCCCGCCGGATCTTGGCGGCGACCTTGAGCGCGATCTCGACGGGCACCAGGTTGAGGCAGCCGGCGTCGCGGTCCTCGGCCCACGACGCGCAGCCGCCGAGGAAGTACTGGTTCTCGACGTAGATGAACCGCCGCGCCCGGCGGATGGCCTCGACGTAGCCGGCCTGTATGCTCCGGTCGATCGTGACGTCCTTGCCGTTCGTCAGGCCCATCGCCGCCGCCGCCACCGGCTCGGCGGGGAACCCGACGACCGACGCGTCGTCGATGGACCGGAACACCTGCACGTTCCACGGCTCGTCGTCGCCGAAGCTGCCGGGGTCAGGGAGCTCCGCCTGGCTAAGGTCGAGCAGACAGCCGGCCATCTCCGGCGGCGCCTGCTTCCTCCACCGCTGCTCGAAGTTGGCGAGCACGTCCCACGCCGCGCGGCCCTCGAGCCTGCAGTGGACGTCGTGCCACGGCTCCCGCGGCCCGCCGCGCCGCAGGCCGGCGTGCTTGAAGTTGTTCTGCATGAAGTCATGGCGGTACGTGGTGTCGAGGTCCCGGAACAGCGTGTGGTTCTCGTCGTCGTACCGGCCGTCGCAGAGGTCTATCCCGCCGATGAAGCTGACGATATGGCGACGGCTGCCGTCCGCGTCGCCCGGCGAGGCGGCGGCGGCGTCGAGGGTGACCGTCTTCTGGTGGTGCGTGAACTCCGCTGCGACCTCGATGCTCTGCACCATGGTGAGCGACGCGTCGGCGTTGCGCGGGCAGAGGAAGCAGCGCACGTTGGTGCCCTCGAAGAAGCGCCGCGTCTCCTCGTCGTGTGTCCTCATGAGGCCCCCGTTGCCGAGGAAGGAGACGGACGTCTTGTCCTGCCACGGCATCACCAGCACGGCCACCCCCTCGTCGGCCTTCCGCCGCAGCAGCTCGCCCAGCGTGACGCCCTCGGCGCCGGGGACCATCCGGGACGCGTCGCGCACCAGCGTGATATCCGCGTTCACCGACCACCCGGCGACGTACACGAACCGCCGCGCGTCGCGGATGGCGACGTACATGTCCTCCCACAGGCGCGCCGGCCGGTACGCCCCCCCGCCGGCGAGGCGGACGCCCGGGTCGAACCCGCCGGACAGGTGCGAGTTCTGGTACAGCGTCACGCGGCAGCCGCTCCTCTCCGGGAAGAACGCCGGCGTGACGCCGGCGAACCCGGGGAGGCGAACGCCGGCGTCCCACCACGGGTCGGACTCCACGCCCAAGAACCGCAGCCGGACGCGGAGCTTCGGGGTGTGCGTCGCGTGGCCATGCTCACCGCCGCGGAGGTCGAGCCAGCCCTCCACGGGCTCACCCGTGGCGACGCGCGCGGCTGGCACGCGCGCGGCGCCGAGGACGCCGGCGCCGACGAGGTGCTGGCTCTTGACGGTGAACGCCACGGGCGCCGCCGGGTAGGCGCAGTGGAGGCGGAACGACTGGTTCCAGACGGGGTTGGTCGGGTGGAACTCCACCTCGCGGGTGCGCGCCACCCTCGCCGCGCCGACATCGACGTCGACGTAGATCCTGTGTGCCAGACGGTGCACGCCCAGTGACTCCTTCAAGCTCTCCGCCGCCTGTTCGCCGGCGAACCACGTGGCACCACCATTAATTACTTGACCATCACGCACAAAAACTATTCACATAACTCTTGGATGAAATTTTGGATACTCGTGGCATGCTTTTAAACTGCTAAACAGTGCATTTCGTACAGAAATTTTCCATATGAAAGTTGTTCCCTCCATCTACTTTGGATAGTCATATTTCCAAATCTGGAAAATTTATTTTTGATATGCATATTTCAATCCAACAACCTATCATCTTAATAACTTTTTCAGATTTAATGCGTGACTCTCAATTCCTCCACACAAGATTGGCTACATAGGCATCGAGAAATATAAATATTAATGAATCGCTTGTTTACGAGGAATGACTAGTAGTATATTTAAATGGATGATAAGTAGAATTACTTATCCTTGTTCTATGTGCCAAGATGAAATATGACTATCAAAAGTAGATGGAGGAAGTGTCAGATTAATCTATTTTTCAAGTTTATAATAATTAAAACTTAATTAATCACACGTTATTACCGCCTCGTTTTACGTGAAACACTTAATCTTTATTTTCATCTTTATTATCAGGAGATTCAAACACCACCAAACTTTTCCGGTTTGCTCACTGTTCGAACTGCCACTAGAATATCAGTAGATTTCAACGGACTCAAAAGGATTTATATTTAAAAACTGTGCACTTGTGCAGCATAACTGCATCAGCAATTCAGCTTGAGAGAACATTTCGGTCGGGACAAACAGATGGACCAGACTGTTAGTGGCAGTAGGTGATCTCTAGCTGAAAAAGAGAAGGGCATCCTTGACGGCCAATCCATTAGCTCATAAGCAAGAAGAAACCATGAGAGCCAAGCAAGCGAACACCACTAGGCCACGATCGAGGAGAAGGAAACCAAAAAACAAAAGAATCTAGAATGACTTGTGAGCGTGAGTGTTACGGTAATCGTACCTTGATGATCCGGCCATGGATGGCGTTGTGGAGGTCGTCGGCCTCGTACACCGTCAGTTCGAGGACGCCGTGGAGATGGTCGGCGGCGGCGCCACGAGAGCCCATGCCGTTTGGCTTCCTTCCTTCTCTGCCACCTCCTCCCGCGCCGCTGCGACAGAGAACTGCTTTTATAACGAGAGGAGTGAAAGCCTCAAAGGGAAGAAAACTAAACCTTGATTTGCTCTCGCATCATGCACCTTTTCACACCACCATTCCGCTGATTCCCTACTAATTTTTATACTTAGCCAATGCAATTAACGTTGTGCAGTACTGGTACACTGCTAATCTCTCCCTGTAATTTTGATTAGCCAATGTAATTAACATTGTACTACTGTACTAGTGTATGGCCGGCTAATCTCTCCCAACGATCCAAGATCCACACGACAATGCAGCGTGGAGGAGAGAGACATTTCCCTGAATTCCTAGGCAGCACTGCCGGCCACAAAAGCTAATTATTCTTCAGTGCCGAAATCATCAGGAGAACTTTGTTGTAGGAGTTTCAATTTGTGTGGATGGTTTGGATTGGTTAAGCAGGATCGTGAACAGGTTGAAATGGAGAGGTTAATGATGAACATGGTAGTGGTCGTCCGAGCAGGAACACAAGGCACTCAAGTTCAGGATTACCGGTAAAAAGACAAGCAAACTTAGGTTCCTATATCGATAGTGCGCCATTTGAAAGGCCAAAACTAATCCAGATAACTAGAGGATTTCCAAATCAATTAATCCACTCAAATTCAGCAGTTAGGCACATGTCATTTTGTGGCTACACAACAGTGGTACAATTTTCAAACCTTGGATTATTTTGCATCTGTTTTACCGTATTGAAGGAATACAACACACCTGGAGAATAAAAGATATATATGGCTTTATATGAAGGGTGTGTAATGTCAGTCATCATGACATGAAAAGAGTGCTGCTCGTTATACAGAAGCAATACGCATCATAACAACTTCCACATACGGATAATACCACACCAAACGAATGAACAACACTCAACAGCTTATTTAGTTCGATGCCGAACAACAAACGCATCATAACAGAGGCATCCACAATGACATGTCTCAAAGAGCATAAGCTGTTACAAATATATAAATAACAAGCTTCACAAAATGCACCAATGTTCAGTTAGAAATGCAAACCTCCTTTTAGCTAAAGGGAAAGACACCTTTGAATTTTAAGGAGAAAAGAGAGTTTGTTACCCTAGAAAATCACGATCTTAAAACAGAAAGATAACAGAGAATCACAAGAAAGCGAGATCAGCGCAACGGCATGTACAATGGTTGTTAATAGCGGACTCTTGGCGTTGTTAATTAGGAATATTCGTTGACATGAAAGAGCGAAAGATGAGAGACAAAACATCGGTGCTATGGGTAACAACAGCTCAACAACGACTCTTAGCCTATATAATATGGAAACATGGTTGCATGAGGGTGAAAAAATGGAAAGAATAGTAATAAGAAGAATATTTTTGAGTAAGATCATTTTCGTCTCAACTAATGTAAAAACATGGTCTCTAAATAATCTTGTATTTTATAAAAGACTAGAAAAATTGTCTATGCGTTGCAACGGGAAGAAAATACGAGAAAATTTAGAAAAAATCGATAAACATTTACATTATTTAATTAATTAAAATACATTGTTTTGGGAATACTTGGGTATTTCTAAGTAGGAAGGTCTAGAATTAAATTAATTTACAAGTAAAGTAAAGTATGTGTGAGAAATAAAATTACATGGTTGGGTTTAATTTTATTAAATTATCCATGATTAATTACACTCTCTAAAATTTTCTCGGAATTTTTGTAGGTCAATTGCTAATTTTAATAATACAAACACCATTTCAATATTTATTTAAATAAAAATCAAACCCTCCTTTCTATCTAGACCATTTTGATCCCATTTCCTTCCTCAGTCTGCAGCGAGCTGGCCCGCTTTCCTCCCTTCTCCTCCCCTCCGCCTCAGCCCGCAATCGCACATCCGGCCCATCAAGCAATCAAAAGTCTAATCGGACTCCCCTTGCTCCTGTCATTGTCACGTAGGGCCATCGCTACAATGTCACAGAGTCCCTCAGCTGCCTAACGCCTCTCCTTTGTAAAATTTGAATGCAACCTTGGAGATAATCCAAAATTGATTGAGGGTTTCTATCCTTATCTTCCTCTCTTCTCGTTTTTCCAATAATCGGACCAAATCTGCTTCATATCGAGCCAAGAGGACCCTAGAGTTTAGTATGTTTTGCTTGAAGAAAAAAAATCGCATAGCAGATGATGACAATGACGGACAAAAAATCATCCCGGATGCGGTTATTATTCCCTAGAAGTAAAATGAATTACTTTTAGTAGTATGGCAAGGGGGCTCAAGCCCCCTAGCCCTCTGACCAGTGGAGCTCCCTTCTTTTTTCCCTATCTTGTGATGCATTTTGCAGTTCTCTATGTTTTTATGTGAAATTGCTTTAAGCTATAATGCCTGTCTAGTATGAGAAATAATGATACAATCCTAGTATGTTTAGCCCCGAACTATCTTTTCCTAAGTTCACTATCCCTAACACACTGCAATAGTGGAAAAATTATCTTTTCCTAAATTCACTATCCCTAACTCATTGCAATAGTGAAAAACGTGGTCATAGGACAGTAACATCACATACACCCTCGTCATATCCTCAAAACATAGCAAACACTCTCTACTACCATCTACTCAAAACACAGCAAACACTCTCTACTACCATCTATTGGTGTATCCTGTATAGATGCAAAAACGTCAACAGAGGTTGTATGTCCCATACAATAGGCAGAAAGCCCCTCCTCTCTATGGCCGTTGGAGTAAATAGATTATTAGGCCATGCCTGACAGATAAGGTAAAGTAATATCGTCGAAGCTGAAGGAGCAACCCCAAAGTGTTGGTCCAATCATTACGAATAACACATAAAAAGAACATTTGTAATTTATATCACTCAATTTATTTAAAGTGTTAGTAGTATGTTCTCGGCTACTCAAATTTTAGACCGTATACCCACTGTTGGGTTGGGACACAGGGATTCCGGCCTAATCTTCGCATCATCGGATCCTCTTCCTCTTCTCGCGGACAAGATAATCCTCCTCGTTCTCTCCTCCACCTCTCCTCCATGCCGGATCAACTATGGGGACAACAGAGTCCCTTCTCTTTTGCTATCTTGCTATGTATTTTGCATTATTCACCTATGTTTTCATATGAAACTGTTTTAAACTATAATGTTTGGTCTAGGCCCCATTTGGTTAATTTGTTGAGCGAATTATCTACTTGATTATAGAGATATTTTTTTCTAAACAAAATTAACCTAACATATATCTATAAACAAGAGATTAAAATAATACGATCGAACAAAGTTTTTAAAGCATTGAGCAAATGATTCATTTTAATAATCTGATAAATAATGTAAAAAGGAACAGAGCTAGTATGCGAAAGGAAAAAGTACGAATTACCCCCTGAAGTATTGGGTGAGTACGAATTACCCCCCTAAACCTGAAAACCAGTTATTTTTCACCTTGAACTATCGATACCGGATGAAACCCCCCCTCGAGCAGCTTTATAAGCGGTTTTGGTCTATGTGGCAGTCCAGTCAGTAAGTTTTTTATTAAATAAAGGATAGGGCCCACCTGTCAGATATAATCTTCTCTCTATCTTTTTCCCTCTCACCCCCTCTCTCACTCCCGTTAGATACCGGCGGCTGCGGCTCGAGCGCCGACAGCAGCGAGCGCCGATGCCGGCGGCTGCGGCTCGCGCGCCGGCAGCAGCGGGCGCCTCCTCCGCTGCTTCGGTGGGAGTCGTCGGAAATCATATGTGGGAGCTTCGACTTGGCGGTGGCGCTGTTCAACGGCGGCGAGTTCCACGCGCGCCACGATGTCGTGGAGGAGCTCTGGTACACCACCGACGAGCCCACCCGGACGCTGCCGGCTGCTCCACGCATCCTCCAGTGCGCCGTCGGCTTCCACCACCTCTTCAACCAAGTATATTTTCATCGTCTCATTTCCACATTTAACTATGCATATTAATTATTACTCCACCAGTAAAAATTGTGATTAGACACATGATCGTGCACAAACACAGAACCACCGTGGTGCCATGATGGAGCTCGGGGAAAGCCTCTGCAAGCTCCGCAAGCTGCGTCTCGACGACACTACGAGCCCCTTCTCCCGCTTCGAGAAGGAGGTCACCGCCGCGCTCAACTTCACCTACCGCACACAGAAGGAGCTCGCGGCATGCACCGACGATCTCTACCTCACCATGGATGGCTCCGTGACCTCCCACCAGCTGCTTGGCAACTTCGCCGCTGACTAGAAGCGGGAGAAGGAGCGGGGCGAAGCAGCGGTGGCAGAGCGGGGCGGGCGGAGCGGCGGCGGCCGAAGCATGCTGGCAATAGTGGGGTGGGCGTAGAGGGAAGAGGTGAGGAGGCTAGGGAGCAGGCTGAGGAGGGAGGGAGAGGTGAGGAGGCCAGGGAGCGGGCTGAGTGGGCGCCTCCTCCTCCGCCGTCGTCGTCGTTTGAGCCACTCCCGCCGGAGTACGACAAGCCCAGCCATACTCGTTGCTGCGATGACCACCTCTGGCCCGACGACGACCGCCGTGCCCCACTACCCTTCCCCGACGCCTGCTCGCTGGGATCTGGCTAGAGACGGCGGTCGCGAGGGAGTCCGGCCTCCTCATCTCTCGGCCTTCCTATGCCCCTCGCGCACGAGCTCGTTCACGGAGAGGAGTGCCGCGCAGCGCGGCGGCGGGGGAGAGGAGAGAAGCGCCCGCCTCCTCCCTCTCGGCGCGCTTGCCGCATCCCCTCCGCGGGCGCCCTCTTCGCCGCCGCCCGCCATCGTCCCGAGCTCCATCGCCCCCTTCGTCGCCTCGTGCTCTGCCCGCCGTCATCATCGAGGTGAGGGAGGAAGAAGAGAGTGGATTTTGGAGAGAGACAGAGAGGTGAGGGGTAAAAAAGAGGGTGAGAGACTGACATGTGGGGCCCACTGATTTAAAAAGAAAATAATTGCTGACTGGACTGCCACGTAGACCAAAACCGCTTGCAAAGCTGCTTAGGGGGGTTTTTCGTCCGATATCGATAGTTGAGGGTGAAAAATGACTGGTTTTCAGGTTTAAGGGGGTAATTCGTACTCACCTAATACTTCAGGGGGGTAATTCGTACTTTTTCCTATGCGAAATAATGAGCTTATGTTGGCATAGTCCTCCCTAGTATGTTTAGCCCCTCCCGTAGGCCTCCCGTTTCTGAGTTGAGACCTTTTACAGTGTTTGCATTCCTAAAATGGCATAGATCTAACGGCTCACGATGAAAGGTACCTTATGAAAGGTATCAGAGGTAGAAAGGTACTATGGATTAAAAGGTAATTGATAACAGGGCAATTATGTTTAACAACGTATGGACGTACCGAAAGGTATGGTGTAAGTGGATTTGAAGGTACCACAAGGTACCGCGTAAGTAGTTTTTAAAGGTAACGTAAAATATGATTTACGTGGTGGGGACAAAAATTACATTCTCTTCTATTCGGTTTCCAATCTTCGGTCGTTCTGTTTGTGTCGGTTTCCAAACTTTGGTCCGATTTACGTGGTACATATCATATTCGCATGATCTTGATAATTATTTCCAGTTAGTCATTAATTTACATAGCAATTTGGTGATCCATCTTTTGATGAATGTAATCAAAGATCGAAAGGACAACAAATTGAGAAGATTTAAGAACCTAACAAGAACAAAACAAGTTCAATGAGGAAGATTTGCGAAAAAAAACTAAACCAATCGTCTGACAGATCGAGACCGTGCGGCCGCTTCTAGCTCCGGCGAACATAGGCAGTCCTGGACCACTTCCTCCGGGTCCTCTTCCTCCGCCGCCCCTCCCTCCAACCACCGCCTCCGGCCACAAGTCCACCGCTGGCCCTCAATTCTCCACCTTTCAACTTATCGAAGAACACATAAACCTTACGTACGAACAGAACGTATCTAAGAACGATGCAACGCAACAGGCTACAAGCTAATTCCTTCGATACCTTCTCATACCTTTTCATATGTGTAAAAGACACATTTGTCATTCTAATATCATCATATTTACATTAATGCCACCTATTACAATATTTTCTTTCCATACCTTGCCCCTCGCAGATCAACGGCTCACGTCGCCCCACCTCCTTGTAACTCGCAAACATCGTAAAATCCCTCTTCCGAGTTAGAATACTTGATGAGGGTGTATCAAAGTACCAGTGTATTAAAATGTCAATTCCTTTAGTAGTAAAAATGCAAGTTTACATTCTAAATGTCAAACAGTTCAACACGGTAAAATATATAAATATACCATGGTGAACTTGGGTAGTTAAAAAGTCACCCCAAACATAGAGGGACAAATCATAAATATCGTGGAAAACATATAAACAAAACTAGCATAGGCAAAATTTTCATGAATCATAAGGGAGATAAAAATGTACTATATTAACATAGTATAAGGGAGAAAAATCATCATAATTTTCTTTTATGTATATACTCCTTCCATACTTATAAAGTAAGTCGTTTAGGACAGCGACACGGTTTTCAAAACACAACTTTGACTTCTTGTTTCTATAAAAATATTTATTGAAAAGTGATATATTTATACTTTTATGAAAGTATTTTTCAAGACAAATCTATACATATAATTTTTATATTTTCAAACTCAACAGCTTGAGAGTTATTTATGATTTATATTCCCAAGGTTTGACTTAAACGTTGTCCTAAACGACTTTCTTTATGAGTACAGAGGGATTACTATATAAGAGTAAAAAAGGAACATTTGGTAAACCCAAACAAATTTTGCTGAAGCAAAAGTCAAAAAAAAAAAAATGCCCCCGAAGGCCAAAACCATGGACACCAAGGAGGAAGACAAACATGACATCCGCCCCCAGCCAATCACGCAAGCACAACACAAGCACAGCTCAACTCCAGTCGCATGGGGGCACAGCCGCACAGACCACAGCCATCAACCGCGTCGAACGGATGGATGGTCATGGATATCTATGGCGGAAAAAAAAGAAGTGGCGCTCTCGCCCGCCCGCACGCACGCATCCACCCACCCACGACCAGCGCCTCGCCCCGCCCCCGCCCCCGCCCACCTCTCCGAGGCGAAGACGACGCGGCCGCGACCGCATCGGATTGGATCGGATATGGAGAGGAGGGAGGACGCGCTCCTCCTCCTCCTCGCTATCCCCATCTCCTCCTCTCCCCAACCTCTCCCCTCCCCGTGGCCTGACTGACCCCCTCCTGAATTCCTGATCCCCTCACACCACCACGCGGCCCTCGGTCTTCCCTCCTCCTCGCCCTCGCCTCCCCCGTCTGGATCTAGCCTAGCCCCCCCTCCCCTCTCGCCCTCGTCCTCCTCACGAGATGGACTACGGCGACGGGGAGGTGCGGCTGGTGAGGAGGAAGGGGAAGAAGAGGCTCGCTCCGCCTCCGCCTCCGCCTCCGGCGGCGGAGAGGGGCGAGAGGGACAGGTTGGACGAGCTCCGGCGGGACTACCGCGATGTGCTCAAGGTGAAGGGTTTGCCCCCTCTGGTTTCCCTTGCCCTTTGCGGCGCGGTTTCGCCGATGAATCTCCTTGTTCACCTCCTTGTCTGAACTACTAATTCGCTGCGGTTGCAATTTTGTATTGCATATGATATCTCCTAGTACTCTGCTCCGCTTGATTGCAGGAGTCCAGGGGTTGATTGCATAGCTGATGTCAGTGCGAAACTAGGGTTGATTGCATAGCTGATGTTAGTGTGAAACTAGGATTGATTGCATAGCTGATGTTAGTGCGAAACTAGGGCTGTCAAGAATTGGTTATGGTTGTAGCATGGGATGATGACATGGTCACATTGATACTGCATATATACACTTGCACTACATTGGACTTGAATCTGATAGCGGTTCTTGATGCAGGATAATGAGATGAAGAGGAGGAAGCTAGAGAGCATAAACAAGCGAAAGCTCGTCCTGCTTTCTGAAGTCAAGTATGACAGCACTTCCGTTTCTTTCTTGTCCCTCCATGTTCCCATCTATCTACTCAATTGATGTTAACGAAGCAAGCTATGTGAATTCTATCATAAATAGTAGTAGTAGTATTGACCCTTTTATCCTCTTCAACTAATCATGGAAACTGTTTTGTTTGTAAGGTTCTTACAAAAGAAGTTAAATTCTTTCAAGAAGAATGATTCGCAGCAAGTACGGCTGAAGAAGAAAGCTCCGCGAGTCCCATCTCATGTGGGAATCAATGATGCTTCAGCTTTTTATGGGGCGAGTACTGAAGTGCCATCTACCAGTAAAAGAACAGATTTAGATTTAAATCAAGATTCTGCAATGGTATGTAACTTTTTTTTGGAGTGTTATGGATATCTGACAAAACGTAATCTATTTCTGACAACTAACATTGTGGTTTTCTGTAACTACAGAATGATGAGCTTTCTGATTTCCCGGGGCACCATAACCATTTGGAACTTAAAAAGGCTGAACAGGCTGGAGTAGATGAAGATATTATGACTGCCGATGTCAACCTATCAGCTTGTAGGGATACCGGAAACTCTCCGGCAAGCGATGATAAGAGGAGTGTTTCATGGCAAGACCGTGTAGCGTTGAAGGTCTAGTCCTTCCATAGATGTGGCTATGAAATAACATCCTTCTCAGATGATTAACTGCACTCTGCTTATTTTTTTCTGAAATATTTTGCAGTGCTTTGTATATCACAAGAGTCTTAGTTAGACATGCCTTAATGCAAGCTCGATCTGATGATGTGATGTTATGAAATATCCACCCAGATTTTGAACTGACGCACATTGACTGCATTTGTCTGGATTGTGTTCTGCTGCATCCTTTGGAAACATGGTGACAAATCAATGTTTTTTGTTTGTTGTTACCATTTACTTCTGAAATGGCAACTGCAGCAGACTGGCATCCTGGCATTTTGACATGTATATCATATTGTAACATGTGAAATGAATTATGAATATCAAGCAAGTTGTATTGTAAGCAAAAGGAAAACATCAGCGGTAAGTCCTGAAATTAATGATTAATAATTCAATTCACATTCATACAATGCCATCGCGTAATTTAAATGACCGTTGATCATAACGCCATTGCTTCAAAACTCTCATATCTGCTGCAACATTTTATTTCTTTGCATTGAGCTTTTCCTGGTCACGATGATGAGCAAGCATTTTCTAGCTGTGTGTGCACTGCAAATTACAAACCTTAGCTAAATTACAGACCTTAGCTGAATAGCTGCAACTCCAACTGTTTAATGTGTTTCTTCCCACTAAGATGATCCGCCAGCATTCTCTGGCTGGTGCACTTCAAACTGCAAACCTCGCAAAAATACGTAGCCTTCTGTTTATCCATCGTCGCTGAGATTTTTACACTCTTGCTGCTAGAGCCATCCGAAGACATTCCTTGCAGAGTCCCCAGGTCACTCTCTTTCGCATTCCATCCAAGAGATTCTACCTTCTGCTGGTGCCTCGTGCTTCTGCGGTGATGCTCAAGCTGAGATTCAGTGTTACATTTGGCCTGGCAGAGACTGCAAACCCATTCCGAGGGTTGCTTATTAGGGTTCTTTGCAAGCTTGGGAGGATTGTTCTTCTCTTGTTTCGCAGCTTCAGGCAAGGCCTGAACTTTCAGCTGATGCCTCCTGCCCCTAAGGTGGTTCTGCAAGTCTGATTCACAGGTACAGACAGCTTGGCAAGCTCTGCAGATCCATGTCGCCTCCTCCTCCTCCTCCTTCTTCTTCTTCCTCTTCTTCTTCTCGGCGTGATGGCTCACATTGCTCGGTTGCGCCTTGGTTCCATCGTGTGATTCTGAATTCCCTGAATTCTTGTTGCTTTGTTCCAGCAGGGCTTGGGTATTTGCTTGGTGCCTCTTGCCCTTCAGGTGGGTATCGAAATGCCATTCGCCATTGCAGTGTACCTGGCAAACGCTGCAGCTCCATCTGGCAGCGTGTGCTCTCTGCCCTGCAACAGGAGAAGGCTTCGCCGTCGTTTTCACTGTCGCCGTCTTCGCCTTCAACTCCAATCCTGCCACTTTCGACTGGTGCTTCTGCCCTCCATAATGATCCCGTAGGTTGCGTTCGCTGCTTGTTTGCACCTCGCACACGGCGCAGCTCCATGTCTGTTTAATAAGCAGTTTGAGTAAACAATTACGAAAGGAAACTGCGAAATTGAAGTAAATTGGAGTATTACTTAGTCCAATAGATCAAACCGTACTAATGCCACATACATATGGTTGAGTTTGGGAGAACTACATCAACCTTACATCAACCTTACATATGGTTTAATTCTTTACCTTACAACTGAAAAGAAAATTAGCAAAGTACTGACCGAGCAAACAAGTATCTGCCTTACAAGGAGCTAACTTTCTTAACAGTATGCTGAAGTATGAACAAATTTACAAATGCAGAGAGACGCAAAATGGATGGAATATATATGATCATATCTGAATATCATAATGTGAGAAGAAGAAAAAAAGGTTAGTCAGAAGCATACAGGTACATAGGTTTCTCACCTGACTTGCCGCAGTCTTTCCAGCGGCGTGCCGGGGCTCGGTGACGGCGACGGCGAGGCATCGCGCAGAGCCATGGCGCGCTCTATCTTGGCGAGCTCGGCGACGATGATCTCCTGACGAAGACGATCATGCTGGAGCTGCGACAGCAGCGCGTCCCTCACCACCGCCAACGGGTCTCCTGCTACTGCTTGCACAAATCCATTGTTGTTGTTCATGTGTCCTTGGTGGTCAAGCACACGCAACATTGGAATTATTCCACACCTAAACTAGAACTAGCAAGGCCTAATCGCTGTCAGGTCAGGTTCCTATCTAAGATGAACAAGTTTCATTTGTTTTTATCTTAACGAAAAGATGAACAGGAAAACTCAAATCATCCCCTAAGGGGAAAAGCCATCAAAAAATTTGAAAAAATTTAGTAGGATAGATCAATATGTGATATATCACTTCACAAACATGCAAATTCAAATTCAACTTATACAAATAGAAACAAAAATAACAAATTTGACTATGAATAGCAATTCATGCTCAAATTATTATTTTTGTTTCGAATTGTATAAGTTAAATTTTAACTCGCATATTTGCGAAAAGATATATCATATATTAATCTATCTTAACAAATTTTTTAATACTTTTTGAATGCCATGCATAAAATAAGGGGATGTCTTCTTAAGAGACAAAAATCCACTTCCAGATGAACAGACAACAGTCTTTGAGAAGTCCTATTATCAGATTTGTGCTATTTGACATGTATGATGCATCTAGTTTGCAATCTAACTGTAATGAATGCAGGATGGAGAGTTCTTGACATCAAAACACGATCTGATTATCTGAACCAAAGAGATACGAAACGGATCACCCTTTCGACCACAGATCCTGTCCTAGGAAGGCTAGGTAGAGAGGGCAGAGAGAAAGAGAGCTTCGATGCGTACCGTCGGCGAAGCGGCTACCACCGGCGGTGGGAAACTCCATCGGCCGATCAGATGAGGACCGGAGCAGAGCAGCGCACCGACCGGGTCACCGGAGAAAGCGAGCTAGCAAAGCAGAGCGCAAAAAGCAAAGCGTTGGGAGATAGAGTAGTTTTTTTAGTAGAGGAATAAGTTCAGATTTACTCCCTTAACTAGTGTGAAAAGTTTCCGAATGAGAGGGAGAAAAGTGGCCCTCACATTTTTCTAATGAATGACAAATGGGTCTATATATATATATATCTTCAATTTTAATACCGCCTAAGCGCCACACCAATACTACCATATCAGTAAAACCGTCCTCCAAAACCACTGGGGAAGTCAAATTACACTGATTTTAATAGTTTGAGAGTCGAGATATCAAACGATAATATTCGATCACTAATTAAGATAGTCAAAGTGAACTTATTCCTTTTATAGGGCACTCGATGCTAACCGGGCCGCGAAACCAACCAACAATGGTGGTGAATAAGCTGTGTTCTTTTTTATGGGTTCTCAACCCATCTCTATCGTGCACGTTTTTTTCAAACTGTTAAACGGTACACGTTTTGAAAAAAAGTTTATATATGAAAGTTGCTTTAAAAAATCATATTAATTATTTTTTAAAGTTTTTTTATAGCTAGCACTTAATTAATCACGTGTTAATCTATCGTTCCATTTCTGTGTGAAGGGAAGGGGTTCCCAACCCCTAAAAAAACACAGCCTAAAAAGGCTGCTTTGTTCTCAGTTCTCACGCACACCTGCGGACCTACGTTCGCATGATGCAGGGAAACTTAGTGGGAAAGGAAATCAAGAAAGAGGGGCGAGTACTATTGGTTCAATGACTAAAAATGGAAGTAAAAAAAGAGTAATATTAGGTCCCCTTTGATTTGTAGAAAAAATGTAGGAATTTTAGAGGATTTTAATTCTATGGAAAAAAAATCCAATGAAGGCATTTTAAACAAAGGATTGAATCCTATCCAATCCTTTAAAATTCCTATGGAATGAGTAATTCTATGCACATTTTGGAGGAAAGTTAGCAAGAGGTCTAACCTCTTGGAATATTTCCTCTGAGTCTATCCCTCTCATCTGATTCCTGCGTTTTTCCTGTGGTCTAATCAAACGGTCATTCCTGCGTTTTTCCTGTATTTTGCAATCCTCTGTTTTACAATTGTATTCCTGTCAGAATCCTGTGTTTTTTCTATTCCTCTGTTTTTTCATTCCTACGATTCAAAGGGGCCCTAAAAAGGGTACAGTGGAACACTCTAAAACTACATTTATTTTTAGGAACAAATGGAGTGATATTTAAAAGATTTAATGGACCCCAACCTAAAAGATATGTTTTGCGAGATGAAATTTTAGACTAAGAAGGGGGGCGTGCATTCTAAAACATCATTCGAAAAACTAAGAGGGGATGAAGTAGTATTAAAGATGTCTACTGGACTTCATTCTAAAAAGATTTTTTAAGGGATAAATTTTTTAGGCTCAAAACAATACTTTTTGGAGTAGTATTCTAGGGATGGAGGGAGGTAAGTACTAAATTAACAATGTGAGGCTTTTTTTTTTTGAAAAATGTGAGGCCATAAGTATAGATGCTTAGAAAAAAACTACCCTTTTAATCATGCAATGCACAACTTCTGATACCCGTATAATAGTTTCACTTTGATTGCAAATATGCCGCATAAGAGCAGGTACAATAGCAGGCTATTAGCCAACTATAAATATATTTTAGTGAGATAATAGTGAGAGAGAAAAGCAGCAGGCTACAGATCTGTAGTTGGTTGCAGCACGGACTCCAAGACGCAATGTGTATATGACAGGTGGAACAATATATCAATAGTATAGTAAGCAACTATCGTATGAATTGGCTATTAGATCGATTATAGATGAATTGGAGCTAGTAGTGGGCTATACTATTAAACTTGCTCTAATAACCTGAGATGAACTATGCAGGCTTGCTATTGAGAGTTTGTCCATGAGAACCATAGAGATGAGATAAGGTGAAGTCTTGTCTACTTTAATATATATAGGGCTCTACTTTAATAAAGTAATCATGGGTAAAGTCTTGTCCAAAAAAAAAAGTAAAATTAATGCACCTTATATTTTTTGCATGGAGTGAGAATTTTGTATTGTTTGTATGGAATGATACTCCATAGAACTATTAGTGGAGAGCAGCATAAAGATACGAGTTAAGGATACTCATTCATCGAGTTACACCCCTGTTGCATAAACTGGCATATCATTTAGTTTTTACATGCCTCAAGGCAAGTTCGATGTAACAATGTGATATGATAAAATATCCACTCAGATTTTGACTACTCTCTCCGTCCCATAAAAAACCAACCTAGTACTGAATATGACATATGCTAGTACTACGAATTTAGACATATCTCTGTTCAGATTTATTGTACTAGAATGTATCACATCTAGTCCTATATTCGTTTTTTTCAGGACAAAGGGAGTAGGCTTATGTCACTCAGATTGTGCTTTTTTGTCCTTTTGGAAACATTGTGATTGTGTCCTGTTTAAATAATTAAATCGATGTTTTTGTTGGTACCATTCACTTGTAAAATAATTCAAGAGGGCACATACTCGCGTCTTTGAGCAAGAGTACAGTCGATATTTGAGTATTGATTTGCACAAGTAGTATTAGTGGCATTTTAAACCGTATAGATTATTTTTGTACTAGTATATAGAAGCAATTGAAAAGAAGCAGCAGCAGTAAGTCCCAAAATCAAGGATTAATAATCTGAAATAATCATACAGTGCCGTCGATAATTTAAATGTTCGTTGCTCAAAAGTCAAAACGCCAGCATCTTTAATCAGAATCAGACGCATCTCATTCCGTCGCATTGAGCTTTGCCTGAAGCACTTTCTCGAGCTTCGCCTGGTGCTTCTTCCCATAACGATGGTCAGAGAGCACTTTCTCGCTGTTGCACTGCAGTTTGCAGATCTCGCAGGACAACTGCAAATTCTCCTGTTTCAGGTGCTTCTTCCCAGTGAGATGGTACGCGAGCATCCTCTCGAAGGTGCACTTCACGCTGCAAACCTTGCAAGAATACAATTCCAAACTCAAACTCTCCGAGGTTGCACTGGTGAAGCTAGAGCCATCTGAAGATGGTGCCCGGAGATTCAGCTGGTGCTTCATGACCTTGAGATGGCTCTGCAAGTCTGACTGACAGGTGAACTTAGCTTGGCAAACTCTGCAGATCAGTGTTGCTGCCGCCGCCTTGGTTCCCTGTGACTCTGGATTCACTGAGCTCTTCTTGTTTTGTTCCAGTAAGGCCTGGGTGTTCGCTTGATGCTTCTTCCCCTTCAGGTGGGTATCGAAATCGCACTCGCCGTTGCAGCTGATGTTGCAGATGCTGCAGCCCCATCTTGCTGCTGCACCGGGAGAAGGTTTCGCCGTCGTTCTCGCCATGGCCTTGGTTGTCTTCTCCAGTGCTGCGACTTTGGACTGGTGCTTCTGACCTCCGCAGTGATCACGTAGGTTGCGCTCGCTGGTTGTTCGAACCTGGCACACGGCGCAGCTCCATGCCGAGGGTGGCATCGACTTCTGAACTGCCGGTTCAGATTTCTCTGAAGGCGATGGTTTCTTGGCCGGTGTAGCCTGCTTGATATGCAGTTTCAGTAAACCATTAGAAAATGAAGTTGAGACCAATTACGAAAATACAAGTAAATTAGCTAGCTAGTGCAAGTGCACACTAATTAACCCCAGTATTACTGAGTCTGAAAGAACTACATTAATGTGTTGACTACCTTGAAATTGAAAAGAACAAAGACGAAGTATAGACTGATCGAACAGGTTTGTTTTCTTAACAATACTCTGATACATGTAGAGACACAAAATTGATGGGTCATGGATATGACTCAAAAACATGATGGCATATACAAGTTTCTCACCACAGTTGTAATAGTCTTTCCGGCGGCGGCGGCGGCGGCGGCGTGCCGGGGCGTCGGCGACTGCGAGACATCGCGCAGAGCCATGGCGCGCTCTATCTTGGCGAGCTCGGCGACGATGATGTCCTTCCGGAGGCGATCCTGCTGGAGCTGCGACAGCAGCGCGTCCCTCACCACCACCAGCGAGTCTCCTGCAAGTATATGCACCAGCCATTGTTGATGATGATGTTCTTCGTGATTGATTAAGCACGAGCAACATGTCTAGTGCCTAAACTACAACTAACAAGGCTTAAACGCAGAAGTCTATCGAGTGCCGATCCAAGATGGACATGTTTCTTCTCTGTTTTTGTAACGAAATAAGAAACAAACAGTTTTGATGAAACTTTTCTGCATCAGAATCTATCTGTCACACAAGCAGATCTGTGCTAATTACCTGTATAGGGTATATCCGTTTTGAAATCGACATTTTTATCTGCCATGCATGCAAAGTGGATTCATGGCATGAAAAAACGTAAGATCAAATCGCATCGCATCTGATAATCTAAACAACCAAGGGACACGGAAAGGGTCATCTGTTTTTACTAGCGTTTTACTATACATCGTTCGGTTCTAAGCTCCAATTTTCCAGCAAAGAAACGGCCATGGAGACGACAGTAGAAGATGTTGATAGACTAGAGAGCTTCGTCGATGCATACCGTGCGACGGAGCGTCGGCGAAGTCCATCGGCCGATCAGAGGAGCGGTGCACCGGAGAAATCGAGAAGAGCAGAGAAAAAGCAGAGCGCAGAAGCAGAATGGTGAGTGGGGCGGCTTTTATAGGAATCAATTGGGCCGCGTGACCAGCTAATGATATAGAGATTAATGGCTGATTTGTTCTCAGTTTCTCACACACTCGTCGCGTTTGCAATGATTTGCTTAGAGGCAAAGGAAAAACGAAGCGTCACATTAACGTGCAAAAAGGAAATAATTGTCGTTTAATTCAGACTCATCGTAATAGGGAAAGCGAATACTCCACATTGGAGATTACGGCTGGTTCACTGTTTCATACTACTCCAGTACTAGCACTAGTAGCGTCGGTCAAATTACTAGTGCTAGCGATATCCGCATTGGAAATCTTCGAATACGTGGCCGGTAATTAAGACACTGGGAAGAACTAGAGGTGGTTGCTTTCAATGAAGCGGCGGGGATACCGGTCAAACTTTTGTACTCTCTCTATCTATTTTTTGATAGTTATATTTTTAAATCTAAAAATTTTATTTTTGATAGAAATATTTCAATCCAACAAACTATTCCCTTAATGACTTTTTCGGATTTAATGCGTGACTCTCCATTCTTCCACACATGATTGGCTATATGGACATTGAAAAATGTAAATATTAATGAATTGCTTGTTTACGATGAATGAGTAGTAACATATTTAAATGAATGATAAGTAGAATTATTTATCATTGGTCTGTGTGTCAAGATAAAATGACTATCAAAAGTAGATGTAAGGAGTACTACATAGTCTACATGTGGACAATGCAAAAGAGAAAAGTTAAGGGCCCATTTCATTCAAATGAAATTCATATAAATTTTAGAGGATCTCATTTCTATAGGAATTTTTCCTATATAGCCCTTTGAATCAAATGAATAGATGCTATAAAATCCAATGAAATTCCTATGGAATGCTTAATACTCCATGCAAGTTTTAGAGGAATTCTAACTTGAGGTAGAACCTCATGGAAACTTTCCGTCGAGTCTTTATCTCTCTTCTAATTCCTGCGTTTTTCCTGTGGTCCAATCAAACGGTCATTCCTGTGTTTTTGCAATCATCTGTTTTATACTTACATTTCTATTAAAATCCTACGTTTTTTTTCTATTCCTACGTTTTTTCAATTCTACGATTTAAAGGGTCCCTAAGTTTTTTTTAGAAAACATAAATTTACATGTGTAAAACAAATAATCCTAGATAATAATCCGTTGTCCAAAAAGAGCTAAAACTGTAGCAAGGTGCCTTGGAGGATGGCCTAGAGGCCGTAACTAAATTTGAAATGTTTGAGCAAATCCTATATACTTAGAGGATGCGTTCGGGAGGAGGAACCCCTCCTCCCCGGCAAGCAAAACGAAGCACTATTGCATTTAAATTAAGTATTAACTATTTTTTTTTGAAAAATAGATTAATATGGTTTTTTAAAACAACTTTTGTATATAAATTTTTGCTAAGATAACTTATGCTAAGATTTGCTTAGAATCATATCAAGCTAACAAAAGATGCATGTCGTAAACTTGAGTCGATAATCATGTAGCTATTTGCCAAATTCGGGTGAAGATTCACCAATAGAATCAATAGTTGATAGAATTAGTAGTTGTGAGGTCTTTATCTTGTTTGGTTTTTATTAATTTGCTTCTACTTTTAGTTTTTAACTTTGACTACATACTCCTTGTGTGAGTTTGCTTTTGTGTTAACCTTATAATAATTAGATGTAGCTCTTGAGCAAAGGCCGAGATATTTCATTCAATTATCTAAAAACAGATTTGCTTAGGATGAGGTTTTGTAAAATTGTAGCATCAAAATACCTAGGTTACGTGCTGTACGCCCGCATGCCAAAATCTCCGTAGTTCTGCAAAATTTATCCTTCAACCTCATACAACTTAATTTTTAGAGTTTTTCTCATTGCTTGGTATTTTTTAATCTGAACTTTTGCACCACTAAGAATAGAAGGAAAGATTGTTTTTTTAATAAGCAGAATACACTATAGTATAAAGTACAGAAGCTTTACCCCAAATATTTTCACCAATCATGACTTATAAGCATCAGGTTAAAAGTTAAAACCCTTTTTGGCCTTGTTTGGATCCTCTATGCTATTAAATATCCCTCTGGAATCTTGCTATTTAGAATTATTAAACATAGATTAACGACAAAATCGATTCCATAACCCCTAGGCTATTTTGCTAGATGAATCTAATTATGTATATTAATCCATGATTAGCGGCTAATTACTGTAGCATCACTGTAGCAAATCATGGATTAATATACCTCGTTAGATTCGTCTCACAAAATAGCCTAGGGGTTATGGAATGGGTTTTGTCAGTAATCTACGTATAATACTACTAAATAGCAAGATTCCGGATCCAAACAGAGCCTTTGTTTAGGTTTACTAGCTTTTAAGCCAACTCTTTTGAATGGAGGATGTTTTTGTAAGACAGTGACTTCGAAGCCTGAGTTTAATGGTCGAGTAAAAAATACACTTTCCATAATCCCAAAAAACTACTGTGACATGTAGTTTTTTCTTATGGCTTAAAAAAGCCGAACCAATAAATTGATTTGTTTGTTTAGACTTAAACTTCTCATAAACCGATCGTATAAACCTAAACAAACATGGCCTAAACAATCTTTCCTTCAAACAAAATGGTATTTTTTGCACTGCTGCAGGTCTGCGGCAAAGCGGCAAGCTTGTACTGTGTCCCATCATCATTACATGAAAATGGAGTTGTGCCGCTCCCTGTGCCTCTTCCCGGCGAGATGCGACGCCATCATCTTCTCGCTGCTGCACCTCACTTCGCATATATCGCAGTAGTACATCCGATTCTGGTGGTGGTGTGCACTGCTGTTCCATTCAGATGCCTCTGGCTTCTCGGTCTTCTTCTCCGCGGGCTGCGCAGCTTCAGTGGTGGCCTTGTTCCCCGATCGCAATGGCGCGAGGTTAGACCGGTGCAGGAGGGATGCCCGGTGCTCAACCAGCGCCCTGGGAGAAGTCATGGTGACCTTGCAGAGGGAGCAAGTGATGGAGCTCCCCTGGGACCTCGGCTTCTTTGCCAGTGAGGTTCCTGAAGCCAGCTGCCTCTTCACACCAGAGGATCTCCTTTCTGGTGTAAGCTGTTCCAGAGCAAGTTTGTTATAGAGCATCAACACAACAGTATCATCTCAAATATCTTATCTCAGATAGGTAAAGTGATAAATAAGGCCAGATGTGTGAACGATGGTAATCCTACAGTTTAACTAACTAAATATATACTAATACTACTATAAATTGTACACTGCAACATTAAAGATGAAACTTGCTGATTTTGAATAGACATTTTATCCTACACCTTTAAATTTCCACCTGTTCGGTTGCTTACCTCAATCTGCCCGTACAAGTAAACACAACGAAAACTGATATAGTTTTTCTAGCTCTCCACACACAATTCCTGATCTGCAAGTAAAATGCTAGTAGATCATTCTTGAACTTGATATTGTAAGCTAAAATCCCACATAAATGGGCCTTGATTCCTATAAGTGCCTATGGATTTGTAAACAAGCTAAGATGCTGGTGAAAGGTCGATACAAAGAAATATATAGCGCAAGTGTACACTGTACAAGTGTGGCACAGTATGGCAATATGGAGTATGGGCACATGCAAACATAATCTGAACAGCATTCTTGATAGGTAAACATGAAAAGGCAGCAAAAACTGGGGAACAACAGTAACGGAAGCGAATCACCTCATCATTGGAACCTACTCGCTTCTGCTTGTCCAATGTTGCAATCTCCTGATCTGCCGGCTTATTATCTTGATAACGCTTCTGGACAAGTTCATCGGTGTGGCCTCCAGAGATGGATTCTGTAGGTTTTGGCTGCTCGGTGCTCTTGCTTACATTCATCTCACCCAACAGCTGCCTGCCATGGCCGTCGATGGCGAAATCACCTTCCTCACCCTTCTGACCAGTGCAACCTTGCCCTCCTGGTGTCGCCCCCTTGCCGAGCAACGCCTGGTCGGCATCAGCATTGGCCGCAGTCTGGACAATGGCATCTGCCTCCACCTTCGCCACCGCCGCAGGCTCCTTGGCCGGCAATGGTGTGGACTGCTCGACATGAGGAGCAGGCTGCACTGGAGGAGCCATCGCCGGTGACCCAGATGGCATACAAACGGCCTCCGCCGCAGGCGACTTGATCGGCACTGGTGTGGACTGTTCGACATGAGGTGCATGCCGCACCGGAGGAGCCATCGCCGGCGACCCGGATGGCTCCCCACGTTCCTGCCGCTCGTCATCGTCGGCCGGCCATCCCCGCGCAATCGGCGGCGACGGAGAGCGCTCCACGTGCGGGTACACCGGGGGTGTCACTGCCGACGGGCTCCGGCGCCACCACGGGGTGATCTCCTCGTCACCAGAGCGCGGCGCCGAGAGGGCACCGTGCGCGTGCGCGTTCGCGTTCGCGTTCGCCTGCTCCTCCCACGGCGTGCTCCGCCACGCGTACTCCCGCGCCGGGAGCAGGTCGCCCTGCGGCCACGGGAGCGGTGGCGTGGCGGGGTGGCCGCGGGCCGCGGCGAGGCGCGCCGCCATGGCGCGCTCCGTCTCGACCAGCTGGCACAGGAGCATCTCCCGGTGGATCTTCGTCTTGTGGAGCTCCCACAGCAGCTCCTCCCTCCGCCGCCCCAGCGCCGCCGTCACCGCGTCCCCCTGCGCCGGAGCCGGCCTAGCTTCGCGTCCTTTGCCCATGAACACAACACCATCAAAATCAAAATAAAAAATAAAAAATAAAAAATAAAAAATAAAATCACTAACCCCGCTTACAACTACTGCATCATGAAAACAAATCTTAGCATCATTCACTACCAATCTACCACCAGATCATCATTTGCAACAGAGATAATGCGATTCGTAGCCAAAAATAAAAATAAAAAAATCGCACAACGAATTTGGGGGAATACCGAGGGTTTGGGAGTTGGGATTGGTTACCGCTCGGCGGGGTGGAGTCAGGGAAGCGGAGGCGGCGGCGGTCGTCGTCGTCGGCGTCGGCGGGATGGGAGGATTGGCCGCGGCGGGGGAACTCCATTGGCGAATCCAGACGGGTTCGGCCGGCGGAGGAAGGGTTTTAGCCTTTTAGGCGAGAGTTGTGAATGCGATGAGGCGGGTGGGCGGCGATGCAGCCGCGCACACGATGTTTTGGAAAGTTTTGAACTTTTTGGGGGGCGTCCGCTTCTTTTTGATTTGGGCGTGGGTTCCGGACTTCCGTTGTGTGATCTTCAGAAGCGATGATTTGCGAGAAAAATAATGTGTGGGTAATTTTCTTCAAACAACGGTATCATGTTGTAACAGGATATCATCTATAAGACAGTATGATACCTGTTTTGGTACCAGCTACATGGTACCTGATATCTGTGATACCTCTTACCCGGTACTTGTGATACCTAGGACCTAATACCTGTGATACTCGTACAAGAGAATAGTTAATATGTCTATCCCGTTGCAACGGGATCCTGTTTTGTAGCAGTCCTCAATTTTCTTTTATATCGATTCGAGATTTATAAAAATAATGGTTGAAAAAAAACTACGATTAAAATAATCAAAATTAAGATTTAAAATTTAAATTTTGGTTGCAGCTGATAAGCTAAAGAGCATGATCGTTTTCTACCGTGTTAGTCCAAAGTCCAAACTAGGGGATTTTTCAATGCAATCTTACGTGAGCTGAATTTTATATACAGCTTTATATATTAATATTAAATTTAGGAGTGAATTTCATATTATAAATTTGATCTTTTGTTTTTATATGTACAATTATACTTGTATGCAACTAATACTGTGCATCTACTCCATTTAACGGGGTAATACTTGTATAATTATACTTGTATGCAACTAATACTTGTATGATTTAAGCTACTCAATTTAACGGGGTAAAATTTATTTTATTTTTCTTAATAATTTCTAGTCTTACCGAACACAATGGCGAAGTGTGTAATTAGTAGCTAATCTAGTGTGCAGATCAGATTTTCACCCGACACCTATCATCATCTTAAGAAATGCGGGTGAAATGCGGGTGTTTTGTTCCGTACTTCCGTTCTTATGAAAAATAAATTAACCGTCGTAAAAATTCTGCAGATGATGCGGGAGTACTCGCTCCGTACTTATAAAAGAAATTGTTTTGGATAGAGATACGGTTTTCAAAACACAACTTTGACTTTTTTTATAAAAATATTTATTGAAAAGTGATATATGTATATTTTTTTAAAAGTATTTTTCAAGACAAATCTATTCATATAATTTTTATATTTTTAAACTTAATAATTTAAAAGTTATTTATGATTTATATTTCTAAGGTTAACTTAAAAATTGTCCAAAACTAATACTTCTCTTTCTCGAAGAGAACTTGTGGGCTTTTCTATCTCCTGTTCAATGCCTCTCCTGACTTGATGCGACGTGCATTCAGGGAACAGCAGTCAGAAAAGGCGAGTGCGGATATCACTGGGCAGACGGAGAGCTGATAATTTTTTCACCCTGTCTCACGAAATAAAATGAGTGAAATATTTGGACATATATATATATATATATATATATATATATATATATATATATATATATATATATATATATATATATATATATAAAGTATTAAATATATACAGAAAAAATTAATTAGTTAGATTACGTATAAATTGCGAGACGAATCTTTTAAGTCTAATTGCTTCATGATTTAGCAATATAACGCTACAGTAAATATTTTTTTAATAACGGATTAATTAGACTTAATAAATTCATCTCGTAGTTTTATAGACGGATTCTGTAATTTATTTTATTATTAGACTATATTTAATACTTTAAATATGTGTCTGTATATCTGATGTAACGCGGCAAAAATTTTCACATAGCCTAAGGGTGTGTTTGGTAGAGTTGTGGCTTTTGGAAAAGCTGTTGTGATCTGTGGGCTGTGGAAAAGCAGCTGTGTAAAATAAACTGTGGGAAAAGCAGAAGCCCGTTTGGTTAGAGCAGCTGTGAAACTGTAAGTTGTATAAGAAAGGACTGTTTATATGCAAATTACTCGTACAAACCTAACCTAATATGTTCAATATTTTGTATTTAAAAGGCCAATTTGTAGAAAAAATGTATAAGTTTTTCATCAAAATATATTAGTTTTTCATCCATCAAAGTGATATGGTCCACATAAACAGAGCATTCATACAATGATGCCATATCTCAAAATAACTATCCTCCTCTTCAATTGTTTTTTTTGGTTCGCTTGTCACCCGATTTTTCTGCAAACTTGAAAACAACATTTTTCCAACCGGTAGTGGTGAAAATTCCCATGGGTATATTCCCAGCTTCTATCTCTTCTTTGCAAACATCAAACAAATGCCTTATAAAATCATCACCCCAATCTGCCTTGTCACCCATTCTTGAACCAAATAAATTTTTCTTCAATCAATTTGCAGGCCAAAAATCAATTTGCTGTAATATTCTAGGGACAACACATGCATCAACACAAGAGCAGGGGCAGGGGCGATTCGGCCTCACCTTTCAAACCGGCTAGAGCAGTGGCAAAGGCATCGGAGCAGCGTCGGGCGGCGTCGAGCAGGGGTGTCTTCAAGCAGCGTCGAGCAGAGGTGGCTTCGGCGCGGCGTGGGGCGGCGTCGGGTGGGCGACGGGGAGACGGCCACCGGGCGAGCGACAGGGAGACAGCCGTCGGCCATCGGGCAGCCTGGGGCGGCGTTGGGTGGCGTGGGGGCGGGCAATGGGGAGACGGGCGTCGGAGCATGCCAGCGCCGGGAGACGCGGCTCGCGACGACGGGAGCACGCTGGCGGCGGGAACATGGGTGGCGCGCGGTGGCGGTGGCGCAAACCCTAGTGCCGCGTCGAACTGCGAATGGCCAGGCGCTCGGTCTGGCGAGAAGGGGAACGGGAAAGAAAGAAAAAGTGCGAATCGTTTTTTCATAATGGCATAGGTGGGTAATTTTTTCTCTCAAAAGCCAATGAAAGCAGGGGTAGGGACTACTTTTGGATTTATACTACACTAAAAGCAGCTTTGGAGCAAAAGCAATTGTGGCTTTTAGCCCTTTGATTTGTTTTTGGCTTTTGCAAAAGCAAAAGCAGATTGAAAAGCCCAACCAGACACAACCTAAAACACGTGGCGCGTATCACAAAACTCACCCCCCAAATGCCAGAGGTGGCGCGCCAAGTGCCATAGGTGGGCGCGGCGTGGTCGCGTGGAGGGTGAGACGTGAGCACGCCACGGCGTGTGCGCCAGTCACACGGACGAGGGCCAAATCAATGTCCAGTAACGAAAAAGAAATATTCTAACTATTTCGTCAAAGCATTTAAGTATTTAACCTACCTCCTTAACTATTTTTCAGTCTTTTTGCACCTTACAGTACACTATTAAAAATGATTCACTATTAAAATTTTGATAATGACATTATCAATGGTTGTAAAAAAATTACCTTAAAATATAAACTGTACAAATTAAAAAGGAGAAATTTTATCAATGGGTAAAATGAATCATTTTCAATGGTTTTGTGGTAAAATAAGCTAAAACATACTTTGAAAGATTAAGTGACCCAATGAAATAGTTAGGATAAAATTAAATACACTTTTTTCTTTTTCGAACCATAGTACAAACACACTTATATATGCATGTGCATATTTACTCGTATAAATACGTACATACATCCTATATTAATATGATCACCTTAAGGTTAACGTAGTAACCACCTAGGTTTACATTACTGAATACGCCGTGGATGCCGGACGCTGGCGATATGACGAAAATCACGAAAGTCATTCAAAAAATTTATAGTTTTTGGATAAATTGAGTAAAGAAAATTTGAATTCAAATCCTAGAAGTCCACTTGGCACGCATCAAAATCCGGTTGAGTTATCGAAATTCCAAGCTAGATGAGCGAAATTTCAGATGCCAACAGACTGCGTGCGAGAGAAAGAGCATACAAATAGAGAAACATACAGGCTCAATATAGGCCTAACCGGTCTGTCATGCTTCATGGTCTCGGCCCAATATGCAAATGCAAACTTCTTTTTTTATTTTCGTCAATTGAGGTTTCTTGAAAAAAAAAAGAGACTACTTTCAGGATTTCCCCCAATTTTTATGCAAATGCAGTTTATTATTTTTTTTGCCAGTCTGTACCACAAAAACATGATTGTTTTTAGGACTTTTTCCCCATTTTTCATTGTCCTTCTCAAATTTGGAAAATCTCAAAAGTGTTCGAACTCCCTGACGAAATTGTGCTTTCGTCCCAGGCCGGAAACAACGAAATTCACGAAGTTCGTCCGGTTTTGATCGAATTTTCGAGCCGTGCACCATAGGGCTTTATCTTTTCGCTTAGGCTAATGTTTATTAGCCAAAATTTAAATTTTTAAACTTAAATTTAGAGCTGATTTTAAGGTTTTTTTATTGAAGTTTATTTTTCAATATTTACTTTTAGATTGCTAAGAACACGTATATAAAAGTTAAATCGCTAAGAACACGTATATAAAAGTTTTGTTCACAAATTATTTTTCATTTGCAAATATGCTGTTTCGCTTATTCTACAAATAACCAACCGTTTGCTTGCGAACTTTCTTTGCTTCCATAGTCATTTTCATTTCCATTTGATTTTTTTTTTGTACATACGAACTTAAGACAGACCAAAGTGTCTGTGTAGAGAGAGCTGCAACCAACAAGGCAGCAGCTCATTACACTTGCACTGTTGCACAGTACCAGCATACACTAAATACTTCTACCGCAAATCAAATAACGCATATTATGTTATGTATTGAGCATGACACAGAGTCAGCAGACGTCGACACCACCTCGGCGTCATCATGCATCCCAGGTCGCTCGATGTCCTCCAGCTCTAAACTCCGGCCACCGCCGCCGCCGCCGCATCATATCACTCTGTGCCGTAGAAGGCCTTCTCAAAGCACTGGATGTACTCCGGTTCGAGCGCGAACAGCACGGACACGCCGCCGCCGCTGCCGTCGTCCTTGTCCGGCGCCTGCGTCACGTACGCCGTGCCGCTGCCGAACATCTGCGCCGGCGCCACGAACGCCGGGCGCCCCCACCCGAAGTCGGCGTCGTAGATGGGCATCCCGAGCCAGCTCACCACCCACAGGTCCGTCTCCGGCATGAACTGCCCGCGCGCCGCCTGGTTCCCCTTCTCGGACTCCAGCTCCAGGAAGTCGATCACCGAGCGGACGAACGCGTCGTCCACGCGCGCCACCGCGTGCTTGATCCGCTCCGCCACGAACCCCAGCGGCTGCGACAGGATGTCGCGGACGGGCACCGTGACGAGGTCGCGCACGATGGCGTTGCCGAAGTAGGGCGACGGGAGCGGCGGGCGGACGCGCTGCCGGATGTTGGCCGGGACGCGCAGCCGCGACTCGGCGTCGTGGGGGAGCCCCCGGGCGACGCACATGGCGCGCCACAGGTGCGCGGTCACCGCGCCGTACGTGGACACGCCGGGGGCGCAGGCGGCCTTGATGTCGGCGAGGAGCTTGGGCGGGACGGAGTAGACGCGGGTCACGAACGGCCGCGGCAGCCCGTTGAGGTAGCTCGGGGAGTACACCGGGTGCTCGAACGGGACGTGCGGCGGCGAGCGCGCCCGGAGGAGGGTGCGGTCGTGCGACGGCGGCGACGGCGACGCGGCCGCGGCGTCGAGCCCACGCGACAGCCCCGTCCACGTCCGGATGAACTGGAACGCGCCCGCGCCGTCCATCGTGACATGGTGCATGCCCGTGCCGACGGCCACGCCTCCACACTTCAGGAACGTCACCTGCATCAATCCAAAGTTTTTCAATTTTTTGAATCAGCAGATCCTGATACGATATAAAAATTCATGCTAAATTGTTACGTGCATCAATTGTTTGACTTTGATATTAAAATTTTATCTTTCAGAGTGCCAAATTTCCTCTGCTCCATCAAGCAGCCGCCCAGTTCTGAAACTTTTCTACTGTACTATAATCTAGTGATGTCACCAGACAACCACACACTATTAATCATAGATATAATACTCCACTTTCTCCAAAATGTCAACAATGGCGAGCTAAGCATCTCCCGATCGTGTCGCTTTGTCTCTTCATAACGGCTGGCGGTTGCCGGTTAGAACTCATCCAACCTTTCAGAATTACTACATCATGACAGCAACTTGTCCCTACTTGCAGCCAAAAAAATCACGCGAAGATCCGCATGCGTCTCCAATACAGACTGCGGCTGATTCAGTAGATTAACATTACCATCACAATCTTGGCATGGACCCAGGGCCATTTGCCTTATCTTCTGTTTCTTCTCAGATCAGATGATAGATGGTGAACTTTCTTCAGACGACCTATGCTAATCTGAAGGATTATTTTTTCACTCATGTCATCCCGACTAAGCCGGTGCTCGCATCCTGATCCGAGAACCATGGGCTATCATGGATGGATCTAGGGGGGAGCCAAAAGCAATAAAAACGTCGCATTCGATAGAAACGATAAAGCGAACGGGAGCAGTGGGACACCACATGTCTAAACTCAATGATTCAGATCAGGTGCAAGTGTTCCAAGTTCCATCCAGCAGGTAGCATGGGATTAGCTCTTGGTCTCATGGATATGGAAAAGATAAGAGCTTGGAAATCAAAGAAAGCTTGTGTTGTGCAGTCACGCCTCTCTGTTTCTTTCTCCTTTCTTACAAAACATTAGCTTAGCTCATGGTTATACACGATACGGCATCATTCATTCTATATAAGTGCTACTCCCTAAGTCGCAAAATATAAGGGCTTTTAGATAACTGTGACACATCTTAGTACTACGATTCTGGACAAGCTTCTGTCTAGATTTGTAGTACTAGCTAGGATGCGTCCTATCTACCCCCAAAACTCTTATATTTTGGGACGAAGGGAGTACCTGATTAACAACTAACAGTCTAACACAGTGTGCTAAGCAAGGTTTCCTCAAGAGAAGCCAGGAGACAAACTACACACCGAAAGTCTCGATGCGAGCCATGTTCCGAGATCAGAAATTCAGAATGGGCCATCTGCAGAGCAGATAGATGTCCTCACAGGAGGACAGAGAGTCAAGATCTTAGCCTTGATTGATTTCGCTTTATTTCTACTGTGAACCGTACAAGATCTGAGGTGGAGCTGCATCAAATACTAGTCATCTCATATGGGAAAAGCTGACAGTTGGCTAATCACTAGTACTCCTCCAATAACAAATCACCATGGGTGATTGACAAAAAGGTGTTCTAGAAGATCATCCCAAGTAAAGATGTTCTAGAAGGCGGTGCAGAATAACACACTATCAGGCTCTATGATTGCTCACAAGTCAACTGCTCTTTTCCAATACTAATAACTAGCCGAATTGATCCAAAACCAAGTTGCATCTCCTATCCAGTAGACACGTCTCCTATCCAAGTACTCTATCATGCCCATGCATGAGAGCAGAACAAGAACAGCTACTATTATACTCCAGTACAACACTTACACAGTTATATGTATCTATCCAAATGGTCGATGTATTTGAGTATTTCTAACTGTTTGTCAACGATGACAGAATTGCACACCTAGCAATTAACTAGCCACACACACTAACATATTAAAGGCTACAGCTTGGAAACATCTAGCGAGGTGGGCCCCACTGATAATTGACAGCGTCGATACCTTACAAACACGAGCACGTCGACATGTACTTAATCACATACTGCAGAATGCAACAGCACCACACGACGCAGCTTGCAAGCTTAGGCCAGATTATCCAGCGGGTTATTATCTACTTAATTACACAATACAATAGAAGAAACAGTCACTTAATCTTGCTCGCAAACCTCGATTAATTAAAGGAGAATCTAGAAGCAGAGCATCAAATCAGGGAGGTCACGAGCGGCACAGCAAACCTATCAGTCCACGAAAGAAACAGTAGAAACACGACGAACAGTAACTACAGGACCAATCAAGATTTTATCGAGAGGTGCCGATTTTTTCTGTTCGGATTTCGACGAAGCTTATAAATTTGCCAAGGGACTTATATTCGAAAAAAATAAAATAAAATTTGCCAATGGACGGTCGACACGTCATCTTGCGACCCGGTTTGCAAATTGCAAGTCCGAGTCGACCTGTGTGTTAACTGCATCGAGACACTGTTCAGGTGGGTCCCACTACGACGTAGCCCCACATGACAGTGGGGCGATATTTATGAGGCTGACCAAACGGCTTGTACTCGTTTGTACTTTTCCACCGACGTGCCACGCAAAGAAAAAGAAATACAAAGAAAAAAAATACTACTACTCCTTTTTTTTTCCCGGAATAATACGAGGAGAAATTTACCCAAGGGGGGGGGGGGTAAAAAGGTGGAGAAAGTTAACCATGATGGGGGTGGGGTGATTAATTAACGGAGAATTGGAGAATACCTGGACCATGGCGAGGACGCAGGGGGGCTCGCCGGAGGCGGCGAAGGGGACGAGGAGGCGGCGGGCCTCGGGGGAGGGCTCGAAGTCGGTGAACATCTCGTCGCCGGTGAAGTCGGCCCTGGCGACGACGAACAGCGCCCCCTCGCCGTTGCAGTCGATCTCGAGCCGGCCGCCGGGCCCCGCCGCCAGCCGCCCCGCCAGCGGGTAGAACGGCACCAGCGCCCTCGCCAGCGCCTCCCGCAGCCTCTCCGGTGCGAAGAACCCCTCCGCCTCCGCCTCCGCCCCCGCATCCGCCGGCGGCGGCGAGGGCGCGGGGTAGTAGTAGACCAGCGGGGTGTGCGTCTTGGGCACGGCGAGGTCGAGGTTGGAGAGCCACAGCGCGTGCTGCGGCGTCGCCTCGCTCGGCGCCACCAGCGTCGTCTCCACCACCTCCACCTTCATCTCGCCCTCTCTACCTCTCTGTGTGTGTGTGGATGCCTTGCTTGTGACAGCGGCTTGGGTGTGAATTTCTGTGTGTGCAGAGAAGGGAGAAAGGGCGTGAGGGGGTTTATAGGCGGAGAGGAGAGGTGGAGGAGGATGATGCGATGGGAATAACGTTTATTTTTTTTATTACTACTATATTATTGTTTCTTTTGGGAGACAAGATTAATTCTGCTAGGTGATGACTGTCACAACTGTCCAATTTGGACAGAAACTTTAATACCGAAAAGCAGCTTCTTGTACAAGTTTTTCTTATGAATATTTTTATATTATAAGTTGCTCTTAATCGATCAAATTTGTAGAAAAAATAGCAACATATATAATACCAAATTAATTATATTAAATACAATATTGAACATATTTGTTTTATATTAAAATGTTGTTATATTTTCTTATAAACTTGATTAAACTTAAAAAATTTTGACTAGAAAAAAATCATAGTGACTTGTAATATGAAATAGAGGGAGTACTGTGTACTGTTAAGCATTAAAATCTGGTTGAAAAAACTGAATAACGACAGAACCAAAGATCTAATTATCAATAAAGGTGTATTGATACACCGAGAGTTGGCAAATGGATGGATTTTTTTTTTCGATTCCGTTTGTATGAAAGTTTGGCTGTGGGAAGTGGGATTTGGGAACATGAGAATATTAGAGTCTTGGTTTTATCTCTCCCACCATCCCATAGGTTATTTTTTTCGTCCTATAAAAAATAAAACCAGTACGAAAATATAATATATTCTAATAATATGATTTTGTGTCGCATTTTGTTTCGTGGTATTAGAATATATCACATCTTATACAAGGATTATTTTTATGGGATATAGAGTATTTTAATTGCCAAGCGTCCTAATAATATTGCAATATAAAGGATTTGTGGTGAGTCGACATATAAAGATATAAGAGTAGCATTCAAGTTTGAAACTTCGAAATTTAGGAAAAATGTTATCATCCACAACCAAATAATATGAAAAAAAATGTTTTGGGGGTTTTCTAGACAAAACCATTATCCAAATCTCCTTTGAAGATATAGGTGGTGTTTGTAGTGTTTCACGTAAAATAAGGTGGTAATAACATGTGATTAATTAAGTTTTAATTATTACAAACTTAAAAAATGATTAATCTGATATTTTGGAACAACTTTCATATAAAAAGTTTTTGCACGAAACATACCGTTTAGTAGTTTGAAAAGCGTGCCACGAAAATCCAAATTTTCATCCACTTCTTACAGAAGAAACGAACGGGACCATAGAAGTCTTTAAAATTTCAATACTCCTTCCACCCTCACATGCTTCGATGTTATTTTTATTTCAGAAAGTTTGTCGACAAACAACTTTATTACAACTAATTTTCGTTGCAATTTCGTACTTTCAAACTTGTTTTGTGCCTTCAATTTTCAACACAAATTGTCTTATATATCACACATTCGTTTCTATGTGACATTACATGCTTTTTTTTAGATAATGGAATAGAGCATCCCGGCCTTTGCTCAAAAAGTTATAGCCAATTATTACAATCTCACACTCAAAATGAGTGAAGTTCAAGGAAACTTAAAAGACGAAACCAACCATCAAGAAGAAACAAACTAAAGATTGCCAACCCAAGATAAAGAGTACACAATTTATTGAATTCTGTTTGTGAATCTCCATTCAAAATTGACAAAAAATTGCATAACCGTTGTCTCAAGAATACGACATGCAGCTTTTAAAAGCTCACTATCTTCCTCACACTTTTGTAGTTGTGCCCAAGACCGGAGCCAATGTGTTGGCCTGAAAACTACCTGCATGTATGAAATAAATGGTGACTTGTTAAAAATGACATCATTCCTACTCAACCATAGAGCGCAACATATAACAGATGCTCCTATGAAAATAAGTTTTCTTTTTTTTTTCACCCCTAGAAGCCAATTATCAAAAATATGTGATATACCATGAGGAAGGTAAAGAACAAAAGAAAACTGAACTGCTCTCCATAAAAACTTTTCATAATGATACTCCACAAATAGATGTTGAATAGTCTCATTTTTCATACAGAAACAACATCTCAAGCTACCATTCCAATTTCTCGTGGCCAAATTATCTTTAGCTAATACAACCCCTTTAAGCAAGTACCACATAAAAATTTTAATTTTAAGAGGCATCCAAAGTTTCCAAATAATCTTGTTTATCTCAATATAACCATTGTTTATTAAGGCTAAATACATCGACCGAACAGTAAATTGACCATTTTGATGATAATTCCATCGAAAACAATCATTCAGTTGACTCAACTGAATATGCACAATAGAAGCACACAAGTTATACCAATTTGCTAAATTCTGATCAACCAAAGCTCTTCTAAAAGAAATATTCAGCGGAACAGATCTCATAACATTAATAATTGAAGAATTCTTCCTTCGAACAATGGCATATAGAGACGGACACTTGTCTTTAAAAGCCACGTTACCTATCCATTTATCTTCCCAAAATCTAGTTTGTTCCTCATTATTAACAATCCAGAAACCCATATTTAAGAAAGTATTTTTAACTTTAATGAGACCTGACCAGAAATGAGAATCCCTTGTTTCATATCAACTTGAGTTATAGAACGATTAGAGAGATACTTCTTTTTCAATAAGTCCTGCTAAACCCCTTGCTTATTTATTAACTTGAACAATCATTTACTCAAAAGACATTTATTTTGGATCTCCTTTTGTAACGTTACATGCTATGACTCGAAAATCTTAGAAAGCTCATCAACAAGCAAGCGTAGCCGATTTTCATTATAGTTTTAACTTTATTTACTTGTTTCATTCCTTCATCTTTCCACGCAAATTGTCATTTTCTATCACACATGGACAACCATCCATACTAACCTTATTTTGCAATACTTCCATGAACAACAAGATGAAGCTAAGGACGTTATAGAGTGGCAAAGGAGTCCATGTAAGTTGCCTTTTAGGCATCTCGACAAGTTTTCTTCTTGCCACTAGTGCATGATCATGATTGCACATTGCGCCAAGTCAATCTTTTAGTGTAGCGCCCCACATTGATGTCCTTCCACATAATAAAAGTATGTTAATCGCAAGCTAATTGTGTTCATTTGTGCTTGTAGCCTCTGTCAAAAATTTTCATGACTTCATTGAGGGCCGGTCGAGTACATACCCTTAAAAAAATAAAGTGCACAAGCAGTCCTTAAATTTGTAGGATGTGTCATCTAAGTCTATAAACTCTCAAAATACATATCCAAGTCTCAGAACTTATCAAAGTGTGTTATCAAGGTCCTAAATTGTCACATCTCATCCAGGATCCTACATGACGCTGATTTGGTATGCCACACAGATGTGACGTGGCATCACCTTGACTGAAAAATGGAACTCACTTAATTTTTTTTCTTTTTTTTTCTTCTCTTTTTCTTCTACTTCTGTTTTTCTTCTCCTCCTTTTTTTTTTCTTCTCCTTTCTATGTGACTCGAGATGTGGCGGTGGCTTAGAGTTACAGTGAGAGGAAGGAGAAGAAAGGAAAAAAAAAGAGATGAAAAAAAAAAAGAAAAGGAGAAGGAAACAATGAAAAGGAAAAAAATTTTAAGTGGGTTCCATTTATCAGTTAAAATTATGTCACGTCACACCTGTGTGACATGTCACATCAGCGCCATGTAGGATTCTACAAGAGTTGTGGCGATACATCCTACAAGTTTAAAGACCGCTCATGCACTTTATAAAAAAATAAATTTAATAATGTTGTCACGAGTTCATTTTCCTCTTCACATAGACCAAAGTACGAAACTACATTGTCATGGAGCATCCAACACAATATCATCGTTTATCTTCATACGAATGCATCTGTTATATCTCTATGAACCAACACTACTTTCGGCCTTGTCACACAGTCCTCCCGTCACATAGCCGTCCATCTCTCACCCCTGATGACAACAGCCGTAGCGTGCATCACGTTCTCAACATAAGGAAGAAGACGACACATAGAACCAAACAAAGCATAAAGAAAAGCATTTTTAGAGAGTGCCAACAGACAGCTGATTACGCACCGATAGAAAACTTGAAAACGGATGGTATTTTTTCCAAATCTTTTTCACGTTAGCAATAGCAGCTTTTTAACACGTCTGCATCGGGATGGTATTTTTTGGCTACAATTGCGAAAGGTGCTAGTAAAAAATGACTTGTCGGACCACATTATTCAACAAAGATTAATTATGCAGTAATCAATTAGCCTTTCGCTGTACTACTACTCGCTGATCACGTGCATTATTTACTGGCCCCAACACAGGGAATGTTTAATCCTGCATCGGCGCTTAATTGCCGGGCGCCCGTTGAAATTTGCAGCCTCGACGCCGATGGTTTAAATTTTGCATTTAAATTTAAACTACACCCGGGAAACTTGTCTCCTGTCTCGATTGATCAGCACCAGTACCTTTCGTGGTTTGTACTAGCTAATCTTCTTTTCATCTGCGGTTTCCTTTTCATGTCCCGGTTTTTTCTCCGTTCCTATCCTTGCGTGAGGTAAGGATATGCATGCGGACGTGTTTCGCCGCTTGGTTAATTGCAGCAATCGAGTATCTTTTTTCTTTTTTTTTTTGAACGACTTGACGATGCCGCCAATTTCATTTAATAGTGGAGACGAAAACTGTAAAAAAAGATAAAAGTATAGAAAACAAAAGCAATCGAGTTTCTTGAGAGCTGACGTGTCCTGTTTAGACTTAGGTCATGCATGAGATAGATAAAATTGATGGATTATCTTACTTATTATATCTATGTCAAAGTGTAAACGAGTGATTTATAAAAAGGTTACTTTTAGAACAGTATTCCAAGACATATAGAAATTGTTTTTTTTAAAGAAAGGAACCGCTTAGAAAGCGTGCAAACTAAAATCTATAAAATCTAGAGTCATAAAACAAATACTAGAAGTTTAGTTCACATGGTTAAATTAAGTTGGGTACGGAATGAAAACATAGTTAATCTTAAATTTTAAAAACTTTAAATTAATTTAAGGCATTTTTGTCGTTTTCATCGTGTAACCATAGCATATGTCTTAAATCGTCTAAAGTGAAAGTGCAAAAGAAAAAAAAAATCTTATTTAAAAGATTT